AAAAAAAAAAATGAATATATAAAACTAGAAAGGTGAAGAACTCAGCCCCTACCACCGGCTGGCAAAATTGAGGTAATTTTGTTTGAAGTGTCACAGAATTTTTATCCGCTAAAATCCTTCCCACAGCGTAGTCTCGATCGAAAGTAGGGACATCAATCTTTAAATAACACCCATTATATATCTTCAAAACAGTGTAGTTATTTCGTAAGCAGTTTCGAAACTTGCCAAAATCACCGATTTGTGTTACCTCGGACACGATCCGGAACATTTTTTCGAAACAAATTCTTCATTCGGTACACAGAAAAGCGCACGACGTAACATTAATAAACCATGGTTTACTCAAAGATAAGGTCAAAACAAACTTGCTTACTTGTTTTACGCACCACTAAATTTCTCCTCTCGTGTCCCTCAATTATTTTCTCCGTATGATTTACATTTAGCCCTACTTCGTCCACCATCTTGGAGAATTTTATAATATGTAACACGCATGCTGATTGGTCGAGCTATTTTCGGCTATTTTTAACCGGCCGTTCGGAACATTTCGGAGGTTTACTCGCTGTGATGCAGATATGACAAGAGGACTTCCGGATTTTATTTGTAAACAGACAGACGCTGAAACATTTTGACAAAATCGACTCGGCAGTTTGTCAGTGGAAGAAATAAGCAATTTAGCATAATCTACATGACACTTATATGATGCAGACCAGTTAACTAAAGCTGCATGAAGCTTGAATGGTACTAATGCAGACGGTAAGTTGTGATATAACCAGTTGAAAAACACATGAGGCTGACCACTGATGGTGAAACAAAATAAGCGGCAACATATGATATTTAAACAGATCAAAAGTAATTATAACCCATCAATTACACCCAATCCCCCCGAAAAATATCTAGGCTTATTCAATAATTGTTAAAGCATTTTACTGGTAAGTATACAACAGTAGTGGTACCAGACCTGTCAATGTAAAGGTCATGTCTAGATCTGTCAATAAAAACCAGGCCTGTCAAACAATGCCATTCCTGTCAATTAAAATCAGGTCAGTCAATCCAGGCCATGCCTGTCAATTAAAAATCTGGTCTGTCAATCAAGGCCATGCCTGTCAATTAAAATCTGGTCTGTCAATCAAGGCCATGTCTGTCAGTAAAGGCCAGGTCTTCTAGACTTTATAGCAATCTATTACACTACTGTGTTAAATGTGTTTTTTTAACTATTTATGTGTACAAAATCTACTAGTGATGTGTGTATATAGTGATGCAGGGTAATTAAATGACTTGATTGATTGAAAGGTTTATCATGTTTAAAAAGCGATATGCAGAATGTGTCATGTTTACAATTTACATTTCACTTGTCACAGGTTCAGCAAACACCATGATGTTGTGGAGAAAGAACTGACCATTCATCATGTGTGGTGTGGACTTCAATCTTGATACATTCATGTTGGCTAATTCAAACACATAAGGGTAAGCAAGATACAAGATACAATGTTTTTATTTCCAATCAAGGGCCCACACGGGGCATGGTGTACAATCAACATTCATAATTACATAAATGACAGGATCACAATTTCACGATTAAGTTACATAACGTACAGCAAAATTAGTTAAGCAGCCTGGTTGTTTTAAAAATAGAAATTGTAATCAAATCAGCATCCCACAAAATATTATGACAATCTTCCACATATAGAAATATAAACATAGTCTAAAAATCCCAGTTCTGACACATACAATGAAATTTTAAAATGGTGAAATTTACTATGTGATATTTATTTATTATCTAGAGTCAAATAGAGAAATATTGATAATTTAATATGACTAGGCTATCTTAAAAAGACGCATGATACGGGTATATAAGTTATTACACATCTTTAAAGTTCATAAATGTCTGTAAGCTAGTTCCTGATCATCATGTGGTATTTGTTTAATTATGAAGATATATAAGATACCATTCATGATTGCCTGATATTAAAATATCAAATAAAATAAATTAATATTTGATAATTAAAAAATGTCATACAACATTGTAGGTGTATAAAAGCGGAGTTGGCAGATATACTAACAACAAAGCAGCGGGAGGCACTCAATACTGTGAAAGAGGGACACAGTCTGTATATAGGTGGACCTGCAGGAACGGGAAAGTCATTCCTCCTAAATAAAATAGTAACTTCCTTACGATCAGCTGGCAAATGTGTTCATCTGACATGTACCACTGGCATTGCCTGCACCAACTTTCCTCCTGCACTAGGTGCTATGACAATACATCGCTGGTCAGGGATTCAAGATGGGCGGTATTCATCAAAGGAGGTAGTTTCTCTCATAAAAAACAATGAGAAATTTAAAGATGCCTTACAAAGGATACAGCTCACAGACACACTCATTATAGACGAAGTATCTATGCTTAGTGAAAGATTGTTTGATCAATTGGGAGAAATTTGTAGTTTGAGGGATCCATCAAAACTGTTTGGTGGTATACAGTTGATTTTGTGTGGGGATTTTGTACAATTACCCCCTGTCCCGAATGCACTTTATAATGATGATGGAAAGTACTGTTTTCAAAGTACATTATTTCAACAGACAATTCCCCATCGAATCTATTTAAATGAAATAGTAAGGCAAAGTGAGGTTCCTCTAATTTGTGCCATACGCGAAGTTTCATGTGGAGAGGTATCTGATGCTACAAAACAGTTCATGAACACTTTGCAGCGACCTCTATCATCAGACAAGCCTTCAGTTAAACTATTTGCCACTAATTACCTGGTGGACAATTATAACAGAAAATGTGTAGTGGAGGCAAGGGGTGAAATGGGAGAGTATTGTGCAGAAGACACTGGTCAGGAAAGATACTTGTCTCGGCTGTTAGCACCAAAAGTTCTCTGGTTGAAAGTGGGCTCCCCAGTGATTCTTTTGCGGAATCTCACCAACAAATTGTGCAATGGACTCTCTGGAACGATTGTAAGTCTAGAAACAGATGGACCGGTGGTCAACTTCCCAACAGTAAATGAAACCATGAAGATCCCTAAGATGACATTCACAGGTACACGTATATTAAATTTGAAATAGTGCTTTAATTACCTTCAGTAAGACTTGATTTAGTTAAAAAGACACTACTGACACACCAGTATATATATCAAATCAACTTTAATAATGTATTACTATCTTGCTATACAGGTTTATTTTATTACCAGGTATAAAGTTCATACTGCTTTAAGCTAAATATACACAGGCACATATTTCACATGTATTTTGCACATAAAATTCACATGTGAATTTTTTTTTACAGTATACATTATAATTTTCAGACATGTACCTTATTCATCTGGCAATAAGCCCATGTTTGTTAATAAGCCCACCTGTGTCTTTTGTAGTTCAATATATAGAAATATTGACAAATGATATATTATTTGTCCTGCAATAAGTCCACCCCCTTATTTGATTTGAAGTTTATGTGTTGGCCTCTGGGAATAAATACGGTTATCCTGCAATAAGCCCAGGGGGCCAGTGTATAAATTAGGATCAAAAGTTGGGGGTGGGCTTATTGCAGGGATGTAGATTAAATAGGAAAATAAATTTGGTTTTTCTGAAAAAGACAGGGGTGGGCTTATTACCAGGCATGGGCTTATTGCCTGAGTACATTGTATGTAGGGTAGAACAACCTGGAAAATAATATCATAAATTATTTATTATGTATAGGAGGTTAATCAGTGGACTGCAAACAATATTTTAAAATGTCAAACTGTTTAAGCAAATTTTACATAAATATGAAATTATAATATATATATATATAGATATATATGTAAAATTATACATTTGTATTCTACAGTTCATCATTTTATTAATTTATTCGTAATTTTTTTCCAGTTTTCAGTCCACAACACCAGTCCAATCTTGCTGAACGGTTTCAGGTTCCACTCAAGCTTGCATATGCGTTAAGCATACATAAATCTCAGGGCATGACTCTTGATAGGTTAGTATTAATATGTAATTGTGCATTTTTTGTTTTAAATATATAAAAAAAAGTATGCTTCAACTCACTAGCTAGCTACCACACCAATTCAATGTTTGATATATTTTTTTAACAAATCGAGCAATTTTTAAAATGTGTGTTTATTTTTCAAAATGTTAAAGGATTTTTTTATGTTCACTGTTATTATTCAGGTACATATAATGTTGATATAGTATGACATAATGTACACATAATTAATTAGTAAATTGATGTAATACAGAAGCTAGCAGAATTATTTAATGTTGGCCTGATATTTTTTTTCTAGATTCTCCATATTGGTATACTAATTATAATTGATTCTATAATCTATATAATATTATATTGTGTGTTACTGTTTTGTTTTGATAGCGTAGAAGTTGACTGCCAGCAAATGTTCAAGCCGGGCCAGTTAGGCGTAGCCATGGGACGTGTGAGGACCACAGCCGGTCTGAGGGTGATCAACTTCAAAGAACAAGGGTGCTTACCTCAGCCGGAGTGTATCAACACTTTTGTGCTGGAACCCTCTATGCCCAGAGAAGACAGCTTAACTTGTTGCAAGGTTGAGAGGTATGTACACTACAAGTTCCCTGGAAAAAGGTGCAAGTGTGTGAGGTCCTCTAGAAGGGATACACTAGTACTGTTATAATCAGTTACATCCTAATGACCTTTATCTTTTGGGTAGGGTTAATGTTGTTTGTTGGGTACACTTTTCTTTTGTTGGATTTCAGGGGTTTGGGATTTTCAAATGCAAAGGATTTGGCTGCAGATATTGATTTGCCAGCATTTGACTTCGTAGACACAATGTTTTGTCCGAGGATGATGCTATTAAGTGTTCGTCTATATTGCAGGGCATTTGGATTTGTGTTCGCACCATTATAAGTTGATCTCTGTTGATTAAACTCATTTTCAATAGCATCAGAATTTACCAACGCAGGTGTGATAAGGACGTTGTAATCAGGCTCGTGAGCAGTTTCTGACACAGCTCTTCAAATCCAATAATGCACGATTGAAGGTCTTCAAAGCATTGTCCAGACATCAACATTTTGCTCTTCTCCGATTTGTTTAGTTCCTTTCTATCCACTATTGCTGTCTGCCATTCTACAAACCATGACAACACACACTGTAGCGTTTTGAGTCTGTCATCTGCTATGTCCCGAACTGGTCGCCGATCTCGGAAAATTTCTATTAGTTTTGAAGTTTGTTTTAAAAGTTGAATTGCACCATTAAGTACAGCACCTTTGCTACCTAATGTTGACTGATACTCCAGTAGCATATGCAGCATTTCTGCGTCCAACACCTCCTCTGCAAGGTGGTTTCTCATCTTTGACTGTGAACCTGGGAATATGTGCTCTGTTGTTAGCTTCCGATGCAGAGCCAACCCATTTCCCTGGTCCCATTTGAACGCATCAACCCACATCTGCCACTGGATTATCTTGCCATCTGGGAGTGTCAGGTTCCGCGTACAGCCCTTGCAGATACCGCTCTTCAGGATATTATTCCTTATTTTCTTTATTCCGTGTGAATAGTCCATCATAAAAATCACTGGACTATCTGGGTAGCATGGATTCGGAGCACACATGGTTTCCGTGGGGTCTTTTCCTAGGTTGATGTGCATGAAGTTTCTGTTTGAAGGTGCACCATCCATGCAGGTGTATGCTACATCAAATCCATACATTTTCAGCTTTGATACTGCTTCCCAAAATAGACAGTGTATCTCTGTTGCATGCACCTCTGTAGATATGAAATGGGCAAATGGAAATCTGAACCCAGTTAAACCAAGGAAGAGCAGTTGTAGTGCATGGGTTCCCAGTTTCTTTTCATTTTTCCCTGACTTCAACACCTCACACAGATTGCCTTCCTCACCTACATCTACAAACCCCACTAATTCTACCACATCGCCACATTTCGTAATTTGTACATCCGACTGGATAGCCATTTCATCGAGTACGATTCCACCTATCAGTCCTTCCTTTGGTATCTGTAGTCTCTTTGCCTCTTTTGACATCCACTTAAAAATATCCTTCTGGAATCCCACTTTCTGCTGGACATTGTTCTTGTAAAGAATTAAGAGGGATGGTGACGGCAACACAAGCATTTGACAATCCCTTAATGTGGAATAGCTCTTGGGACTCCTGGTGAATAGTTGGAGGCATAACGAGATAATCGACTTACTCCAGCGTCTGCCCCTTGGATCTCTTCCAACATTGGTTGCTTGACTGATCAGCAGCTCCAGCATATTCTCGCTAGCATCTGGAATGAGTTTTTTAAACTCCCTCGTAAGGTCTGTCTTGGTTTCTTTTTCTGTCTTTGTTTCAGTTACCAGCATTGGTTCCTTTTCCTTAGTGTTATATCCCAATGTCATTTTTTGGCAAATCCTACATACACTGGTTTGAGAAATAAAAGATACCACTCTTGAACAGCTTATTGACCGTAGTCGTTTCCCCGTCTCTGCTCTACTCTTCCACGTTTCTAGTGTGTGGAAGCTGCTACAGACAACAGATTTCTTTAATGGTATGCCCTGGCATAACTCCATCTTTCTGATCATTTGGCACACCAAGTTAATGCTCTCCTTCTGGATGCTGTAATGCTCATCAATACCGATCGCAGACAATTTAGTTGAAGTGTCACCCACTTTTAACTCCCAGTGTCCATCATTACAGAATAAGACATTTTTTATCACTTGGTGTCCATTTGATGCAGTATCTGTCACATATTCACACAGCACAGTATTATTGTTTTGGTGTTTCACATTAAAGTCCTCTGGCAGAAAACTTGGGATGTCACTGATGCATGGCTTGTGTTGTTCATTGTGTTGTAATGACTCTATGGGCTTTAAGAACAATCCATTGTAGAAGTTCATTGTGTCAGTCTTTGAGATTCTGCCCTTTGTTTTGGAAATGTTGGGGAAAAGGTTAACCAAATGCATGAAGAAGCCTTTCTTGGTCATCAGATCGGGTACTTTCCAGCCTTGTTCAACGTGCTCATAGTAGTAGGCATCATAAAGTGTCTTGCCCGCAACCTTCCCTCCCTCAATTTCCTGAATTCTTGAAAGTAACCTGGAAAGTATAAAAAAAAAAAGTCAACACGAGGCCGAGATTCCAGGGCGGAGATCTTGATCATTTTTAAGTTATGATCTAATTTCCCCTACTGCCACTACTGCACCCATCCCCACCCCTTCCCCCTCCCCCTCCGCTGCATGGCTACATTGTATATGAACTATGGAAAATAATATTTACACTGTGACATGTAGATGTGCAATAGCTATAGGGGTTTCACAAATGTATAAGGTCAATGTCACTGTTGCTAAACATAGAATGTGGGTATACTGCTAAAATTACACCTTGTATGACCCACAAAATGCCTGATTTGGTAAACATTTTGTTATGACATTATGATTCATCAAAGTTGGTTAAAATCAAGCATGGAGATCAAGTTTAAATTTTGTATCTCTTACCCAGTAAACATTTTTACTTTTTTATGGCAATATGAGGCAAAGTTGTTCAGTATCACGTAAGAAGTCAACTGCCAACAGGTCAAGATCATCAGCCTCAGGTCAAATGTTGAGGTCATTAGGTCAAAGGTCAAAGTCAAATTTGATATACGGTATATATATAGCTTAGTTTAATGTCACTATTAGGGTCAGACACATAGCAAGGCACTAGCTGACTTGTCAGTTTTAATTTGTATTGATTATTTTATACTTTCAGATTGGATGAATCCACCATTGAACAGCTCTTCAACATTCAGGACATGATGTGGATTGAGGCAGATCCTGAGACATCTGAACTCCAGCATGTTTTGGATGGGACCGTTGAAGAGGAGGAGTTTGACGATGACTTTAACAAGATCATTGCATCAACAGTATTCGTCAACTCCGACGAAATGGTGGATTTTGTTTTACCTCCGGGATTTGATGTCGTCAGTGTTTTACGTAGTATGAAGACTGACAATGTCTTAACGCCTTTGATGAAAGAGGTCAATGATTTGGTTTCGACCTTGCTCAGCAGCAATCTCCAGGCAGCACAAGAATTTTCAAAGAAGGAGTTCTTGGCTCTCTTAGCCATACTGGATGATCTAAACATTGCAGAACCTGTCGCTGTTAAAACAGAACACTTGTCAGACTTTTACAGAAAAAGCCATCTCCACCAAACATCTGATGAGTATAAACTTAACTGCATGATGTTGTTCCATGACATGTCACAGTATCCAGATGCCCACGGATACATCAGCTTTAACATCACCACTGCCATCCGAAAATTCCTTCTGCAGGAAAAAGTGGACCTATTTCCTGTATGTGATAGGACCACATCAACAAGAACAATAACCAGTGGATGTCGTGCTAGGGTACGGTACGTGGGGGGTTATTGTGTTAGCAAAGTGAGATACAAGTACATAAAACAACGCAACAGTACTTGTTATCAAACATCCATTGCAGCACAAGAACGCTACGAGGAGGCAAACAGTGTGGTCCAGTGTCTAGACAAGTTGAGGGAGAATGAGTCGTTCCTGGAAAAACATTCTGACTTGCCCGAAACGTTATTGGATGTCACAAGGAGGCAAAACATTTCAAGAGGGCTGACACATATACCAGATACCTTGTACAGTTTTTTCATGCTTCTTTGTGAAAAGTGTCTTTCAACCCTCACCGACATCAATGTACATACATATGGAGACCAACTTTACAATCACTGTCTCAGTGTTCTTACAGACACTGAAGACAGCCGTGTTCTTCATGAACAGTTTGTAAAGGTGCTTGTACAGAGAACGAACGTTGACGATTTCTCTGCTACTGTTGAGGACGACATACGACATGCCACAGGAAATGTTTTACATGAAATAGTTTTGAGAGTCCATGCAATTGATACGTTATTCATGGAAATCCTCAAAAAGTTTTTGATGGTTATGTTAAACCAATTCAGGAAAGATTTACTTCAGGCGTTGTCTGTGGAAAAGACCATGGCCCACAGAAAGCAAATTCTCGTAAAGAAAAAATAAAGGATCTGCTGGCACTCCAAATGTCACATTTGACTCTATTGTCAAAGACCAAACGGAGGGAAAGAAAATGTCCCATAACTTGTTAAAGGGACTACTGCTCAGGAAGAGTGACTTACTCAAAACTTTTAAAAAAGCTGAGTTAGCAACACTAGCCAAAGCTTACGGTGTATACGTTGAGTCCAGGCATACCAAATCAACGCTGATCAACCACCTAATACCAGCAGTGACACAGGTGGACAGTATGAAGAGTAGTAGTGTGTTTGCCCATCAGACGGCGCCACCGCAACAGCCTATAGTCACACAAGGTGACCCCCAGCCCAGCACATCCAGTTCGTGGTTCGCACATGAAGACCCCCAGTTCAGTACATCCCACTCTGAGATCACACATGAAGACCCCCAACCCAGCACATCTGGCCCCCAGATCACACATGAAGACCCCCAGCCCAGCACATCTGGCCCTGAGATCACACATGAAGACCCCCAGCCCAGCACATCATGCTCTGGAATTGTGACACATGAGGATCCACAACCAGCTGGCACATCAAGATCTGGAGTCGACACTCATGAAAACACCCAGCCCAGCACAGTTGAATTGTCACCGCGCCACAGTTCCAAAAGCGATGAGGAGGACAAGTGTAAAGTGTGCGACAAATCTACGGGTTCTGTGCAGTGGATCCAGTGTGAAAACTGTGAAGGGTGGTTACACAGAAATCGTGCAGGGTTAAAACAATTGAAACAATGGAAAAGGTGGTCCAGAAAAGGTGTCAAATATTTTTGCAAAGAATGCAAATAGAATACAAGGACCTTACTCAAGTAATCCCTCCCAATATCCCCCAGGACATCACGGTGTAACCTGCACCGCTGTAAATCAGTTATATTTTGCGAGAGAGTTATTTCCGCGTTAATATGCAAGTAGACTCAGTCGCAGAATTATATACTTTGCGAATAATAGTATTGTCTATGGCACAATGCATGATAGTCTTATCATTCGCAAATTTAAATACACGCGAATAAATAAAGTATACGCGAAATTCAAATATAAGTGATTTACAGTATTTACTTACTGTATTTATCCGGCGATAAGCCCATGCCAGGTAATAAGCCCACTGAGGTCCATTACATTTAGTGGAAATGCACATACATGCTATGTCAACTGTTGTCCTGTAAAAAACCCACTAGCCATATTTTGAGTCATAGTTTATGTGTTGGCCCCTTTCAAGCTTTGGCTTATTGCATTATAAATATATCAATTTTTAACACTGTGTTCACTCAGGACCTTGCACAATGTACTCCGTATAGAACCACAGACAGTGATGTATATCCAGAACACAGTACCTTTGCACATGTAACCTTCGAAGTTAGAGATGTGAGTGTATATATACTAGTAACACCTGCCCAGGTGTGTTCCCAGGTAAAGTTAGAGATGTCGTATGTGTTGATATAACATCTGCCCAGGTGTGTTCCCAGGTAAAGTTAGAGATGTCGTATGTGGAGATATAACATCTGGCCAGGTGTGTTCGCAGGTAAAGTTAGAGATGTATGTGTAGATATAACACCTGCCCAGGTGTGTTCTCAGGTAAAGTTAGACATGTCAACTCTAACTTCACCTGGGAACATGCCTGTATAGGTGTTATATCTACACATACTACAGTAGTATGTGTAGGTACAACACCTATACAGATGTGTTCTAAGGTAAAGTTCAAGATGTATGTGTAGATATAACACCTGCCCAGGTGTGTTCTCAGGTAAAGTTAGAGATGTATGTGTAGATATAACACATGCCCAAGTGTGTTCTAAGGTAAAGTAAGAGAATTACAGAATGTATGTGGATCATTTCTGTTAATACTATATAGTGGGTAATTGATGATGTGGTGTTGCTCACAAACAAGAGTTCTGACAGTGATCTTTATTAGAAACAAATTACAAGGAATTCAAACTTTTTGTGTTGTAAAGTACCGCTAGTCTGTTACAAATCATGCATTCTTTGTTAAAAACGAACACACGTCCCATATCAGTGATGTGAAATTTTAAATATTACAAAATAAATGGAAATTGTGGGACCATTATGTGTTGAAAATCAACTGACTGAGTTTATTATCCACAAGCATAAACATTAGTTTACTGACATGAAAGTTCTGACACAATATTTGAATAATATAATTAGCATAGGAATTATTCATTTTTGTTGAAATTGTCAAGATGTGCCTAAAATAAAATATTGTTTGTTTCCCCTTTTATTTATCCACCCACCAAAATAACACCTACCCAAAATATTTTGTTGGCATAAAAAGGTACTTATACTTTGTGATTGTGTTAAATTTAAATAATATTTTATTTCGATTTTTTTTCTTTAAATATTAAGATAAATAATTCACCTGCCTACCCGTGCTGATAACTCGGGTTGGAAAAGGGAAAACAAATAATAATATAATGTTGGCTTGAGTGAATTGTCTATGATGTGTAATTACTGAATGTGTGCCAAATGAATACCCTATTATGTGATCAAGTGATGACAACTTTTATATGATGCAGGATATTACAATGTTAAATTGCAGACTGCTTTTGTTATCATTTATCCTAAAATTCCTTCTAAAGGAATAACTATGATAGATAAAATAGCTGTTGCATTACATTGTACATCAGATATAATTTTCAGTGTCATGGTAAATAACTGAAATATATGTATAATTCTTGATCTTGTATTTAGAATGTTTAGACTAATACACCTTTTTATGGATCTTTTGTTTTAATTGACAGAATTATTTCAGATCATATAATATATGTTTATGTTATAGTTAAAAAAACAAAAAAACAAACACATTACAAATTGGATAAATTTTCTTTAAATTAATTAAATTCCAATTCCAATTAAATTCAAATATCAATTACCACCAATTTTATTTTTAAACTACTTTTTTAATGCATTAGCATTAGAATAAAGCTTTGTAATTTAACAGCTATTTTACTTTATCATTCCATGATATTTTAATAAGAACTTACCATGTGACAATTGCCATTTTAGCAAGAATGTACAAATTTCATGTTTTTTCTGTGTTTTTTCTCGTCTTCAAAATCTTGCGCCAAAATCCGATATAATATTCGGAAGTCCTCTTGTCATATGTGCATCACAGCAAGTAAACCTCCGAAATGTTCCGAACGGCCGGTTAAAAATAGCCGAAAATAGCTCGACCAATCAGCATGCGTGTTACATATNCAATTTCACTCTACATTTCTTGTTTGCAGACTTAAGTGAGTGTAATGTGTTGCTCATAATTATACTGTCAATGATAAATACAGAGAAAACCTAAATGAAATGTTCACAAACTAAAGTAATTGCAACTCTATTAGCCTCAACGTAAGTGAAAATGATCGTTATTAAATGATCAAAGGGAGGTAACTGCTATATTCCTACACCGCATTATGATTTCTGCTACACTTTTTCAGGGACGTATAGTGAAGTATTAAAAACAATGATCATAATCTCTTTGTCTTGATGATTTCATGCTGATACTTTCCCATGCTAATATTAGTCACATATTGATACAAATCATGGCAGACTTTTGCTAAAAGAAGTGTATGAAAACGCCACAATATGCAACGGTCCTGGTCAGCGACGGTCCCCGTCAGCCCCGGTTCCAGTGAGGGCAGCTCAGCTGTTANTACCACCTATGATCCCAGCTTTGGCAAGAAATAACGACTACTCGATCAGGTTAGGTGAATTCCCGTTGGGAAAATCCCAGTAGAATCGCACAACAACAAAATGTGTAAGTGTGGTTGTGGTGCGATTTCAACGACAGAAACTGTGATTAAGAAATGAAAGACATTTTCCTTCGGGTTGCTAAAACAGAACCTGGACATAATATTCACTGACAGTGACATCGTTACACGTTACTGGGCTGAGGTAAAAGGGTCACAGTACATTGATTGTACGGCAGTGCAGGTTTCTTTGGCAAGCCGGGTGCGGATGGCACGCTATCAATGTCAGGAAATGAAATTCCGTAAGTGGATAGATCTAACATAATACAAGTATTTTGGAATATGTATAGTGCTGTATGATGTTTTGTACTAATATCGATATCGTCTTCAAATACATGTAAGCGCCATGTTGTATTATATTTTGCTTAACTTGCAAAGTCTGTACTTAAAACTTTCAAACTCTGCCAATAACACTGCACTTTTAACATGCCCATTTAGTAATCTGTATGCTGTGTCCTTCCTTGATTACATGCATATAATTACATACAGGGTAGAAATGTGTTGTAGCAGGGTCATGATCAATGGTCATTGCCTCTGACATGACAGGCAGATCTGTGTTTTTCATTTTGATTTTTCAAAGGCCTTAAAAAAAGTTCAGGCACTACAAACTTCACATAAAACTATATTAAACTGTCAAGTATTTACAAATAGTAGGAGCTGTCAAATAAAATCCTTTCTGTGTGTTTGCCATTACATGTGTATACAACATTTGCTACATATAAAAGTCACAACCCTTTCTCCCTGTGATGGTATAAGCTGCCCTTAGATTTGAAAACAATATGAATGTTTCCTTTTCAAACATATCGAGCCATTGGTGTTCTGTAAATAGACTGGAAGCTTAGAGGAGCAGAGCCTTGAACACTTAGCACATTTTGTAACAAGGAGACATTTTAATTCTACAACACCATTCCAACAGCACTCACACGTGACCAATATGTCTGGACTTGCTCCTAAATAAGAGTGATTCTGGTCAAGGAATATGCCACATTCAGAAATGGACACTTTACTACAAAAATACTTTGACATTTCTTTCTTGTAGGATTGTTTGGCCTCTGGTTCCAGTTCCCTGCCATGTTTAATAGATTTTATATTTGGGTTATTTTTCTATACTCCAACAAATTGCACAATAAAGGTTCCATATTTGCTACCTTTGACATATAAGAAAATATCTTAGTATGTACAGAATAAAAAGTTAGATGATGTTAATCTGTCCTGACGAATGTCATGCCTAAGCGGATTCTCACTGTCCATTTGTTGCCAATGAAATCGCCTGACATTCCTCTTCACAAGATAACTTATAAGAGCATGTACAATATATACTAAGACTGAGGCCAAGTTCAAGTTTGACTGAAACCTGCTTTTGTTTATTGAGTCATCACATTCATTATTTAATGTTCTAGTCTAAGGGAGATAATTGATATATTTTTAAACCATAAAACTGTTTCCTTGATATTTGAATGTGCCCAGTCTATGACACATTATTGACAAGAATGTTATGTACAGGACAATATTTATAAGGAGTGCTTTATTTTATTTATCACTAATTAAAATAGTTTTCATAGCTAACTAATATATTTCTAGACAATTTATATATAAATTTGTATTATCAATATTAGGGTATGACTCGCTATTAAGCATTTAGTTTGCATTCAAAAAGATAAATAGAACGTTAACTAATACTTTCATTTAAACATTACACAATCACCTACAGGTATCAACAGTTGTCTTGGTTTCATAGCCTATTTTACTGCTCCATTTTCCTTGTAACAGCAAACTCACACTGTATGTAAGTCACCCTTCACTTCATGTGACGCCAGTACGGTGTACATTTGGCTGACAAAATACAGCCGATGCAGTTGATGTGGAATGGTAGTAAACTTCCTGAAAGTGACCAGACTGAAAGTACTCATAAGCCTTTACGATTTTGTAATCATTAAAAATAGTCTGTACATGTACAGCAGTCGACGATTGTCTGTTTACAAGGAAATTAATGATGTTGGTTATATAAACAGGTCCCAGTTTCTCCTCGACCCACCCAGTGTGTAATAACAATGGGTCCGGTATGTCCATCATCTACAAGTAACAAACTAAAGTATTCTTCCTTATTTTGTTTAAAACTACAGTATTGTTTGCGTCTTACATTCAACAATCTTACAACACTTAAAATTAAAATACCATCTAGAAATTTTCTAGATTTATATCTGAAAGTAATTTGTGGTCGGCCTGAAAGTACTGCTGTACAATCGCATGCTGATTGACGTAGAGACCGACAGTTACCAAAGACTGATTTTTACATGAAAAAGTAAGTACATTTACAACACCTGGCCGGGCAGTCTTTGTTTTCAAGCCCAAGAAAATCATTTTTATTTGTCAGATGTTTCCCATTGACGTGCAATACTATCGGAGATGTACATGTGATAAATTGGGTGGGGGGATCGGTGAAAGCCAGGACTCTCTCATCCTGACCCGATGAAAAATATAATATTGGGTAGCGATTTAGAAGTTTATATTTGTAAGGGACAGAGTCTTTATTGCGTATCATGTAAATTGACATCATCTCAGCCGATACCCGTCATCTTTCTTAAACAACATTAATCAGTTTCTTCAAGTTACCGAAAACTAACTATCACAACTAAAAAAAGCCATGTATTTCAATGTTAATCATTGTTACACACACACATTTGGAGCTGTTCGTATCAGTACAGCTTGTGTAACATAAACATATTTATTTTTACATTTAAACACTTAGATTACTTGTAAATTAGTCAAATGTTTGAAGGTGGCGAAACTGCCTGCACCTTTGAGCAAAACCACTGAAGGCCTGATGAGGTCACAAATGTTGCTGCGTGATGTCATTCAGGCATGTTTACAACAATGTTTATTTATAGGCATTTCAGTCGAATCTTCTGTATCAGTGCTCGTCGGCATTTTGATACATGCCTATTTGGTCGAATTATGAACAGAAACCCTTACTAATGTGACGAATTTGCCTTCACTGACGTTGGATGTCTGCTGGTCTTGTCTGGTGTAAGCCAGACATCTATCTGTCAAAATGTCTTAAGTCTGGTGTCAGGGCCAGAGGAAACTCGGGCTACTATGTTTGGTTACTCTATCGGGTAAGGATCTGTTAATCAATCTGTTTTATTATGACTATATATGCATGGTGAGGGGTATATCAAAAGGTTCCACAATCCCGCGGCCTTAATGATGGTGTGGTCGACCAACAGTTCAACCCTCTGCAGGTTAGTCATATTTTAAATAAAGATTTGCATGGACACATATGAATCTTTATTTGTGGCTGGATGCTTCTCCACAGCTAGAAATTAAGATTTCATTATGCTCCGCATGACCTAGGGGCTACAGGTATACAAACAAACTTTGGATGATACGTCATTATGACATATCAAATTCATTTGGGTCGCAGAAGAGTTTGACTTATTATAATGCCATTGAACCATTTTTATAGAGTCATTGGCCGTAATGCCTCATTGCAGACTCAGTTCTAGCTGCGATAACCTAGCTTTCTGATGACGAGAGATTGTTTGTATATATATTGCCCCGGCTTTCTGACGACGAGAGATTGTTTGTATATATATTGCCCCAGCCGGGGCAGAGGAGGCCGGGTATTGATATTAGTACTAACTCAGTTCATGAACATTGCTATGTACAATTTTAATAACTATAAGTATCAGGTAAATATATCCAAATTACTTAAGGATTAACTTGATTATATTTTTCATGTTATGGAGATATAACACAAAAAAACGGAGTGTACTCTATATAAACTGCGAAGCGGTTTATGATGACAGTAAACTCCGTTTCTTTGTGTTATAGCTCCATTACATGAAAAATATATTCAAGTTATCCTTATAATTTAATCTACTATACACAATCCCTGTGGAAATCCACTTTTATTGATGGACTCTTTTCTCTTAGAAAAATATTGCCCCGCTGTATCAACCAATCAAAAGTGACGTTACAAATGGTGACGTCATTTTTTTACGTTATGGGATGATAACATAAATTTTTAAGCCAATGGAAATGCTTGTTACAAGCAAGATTAAATTCTATATCTATATTCCAAAGCTTAATTGGGATCTTTAAAAGTAACTTGTCTGGGGGTTGAAGTTAAGGTGACTGTACCATGCTTAAGGGTATGTTGAACCTAAATAATTCAAAAATGTAATTTAGTGAGGCCAGGGGATGTCAAAGACAATGTTGGATGGAGAAAATAGTGATTGAGAATGGGGTACTATTAAAGTATCAATATGCATATAGATACTGGTGTTCTGAATACTTAGTTGATTTTTATTTCATTTCAGGGATACTTTGTTCTGGTGAAAATGATGTGAAGGAAAAGGCTGAAAGTCTTAGTAAAGTTCTGACAGACAGAACACCTAAGCCAGCCTTCTCTGGGATACTTATCATACATGGTAATTATACTTTTTTGTTTCTAGTCACAGCCAGTAACAGTCAAGCTTCAATGTTTCTATTCATCAAAAGTAAACTATTGAAGAAACATTTTGGAGATATTTGTCAATTTTTCTATGACAAAAAGCATTTAACTTATATACCCTGCTGTCTCACACAGTAACTCAAGCTTCAGATAGCATAGGAATGCAAGTGTGGAATAACGAGCTTATATCAAAACTCAGGTGGCATTTAAAGTAATGTGGTCATAATAAAGTCATGTGGTCACATTAATGTCATGTGGTCACATTAATGTCGTGTGGTCACATTAAAATCATGTGGTCACATTAGTGTCATGTGGTCCCATTAATGTCATGTGGTCACATTAAAGTCATGTGGTCACATTAAAGTCATGTGGTCAAATTAATGTCATGTGGTCACAATCAAGTCATGTGGTCACATTAAAGTCATGTGGTCACATTAATGTCATGTGGTCAAATTAATGTCATGTTGTCACATTAAAGTCATGTGGTCACATTAATGTCATGTGGTCACATTAAAGTCATGTGGTCACATTAAAGTCATGTGGTCACATTAATGTCATGTGGTCAAATTAATGTCATGTTGTCACATTAAAGTCATGTGGTCACATTAATGTCATGTGGTCACATTAATGTCATGTGGTCACATTAAAGTCATGTGGTCACATTAAAGTCATGTGGTCACATTAATGTCATGTGGTCACATTAATGTCATGTGGTCACATTAAAGTCATGTGGTCACATTAAAGTCATGTGGTCACATTAATGTCATGTGGTCACATTAATGTCATGTGGTCACATTAAAGTCATGTGGTCACATTAATGTCATGTGGTCACATTAATGTCATGTGGTCACATTAAAGTCATGTGGTCACATTAAAGTCATGTGGTCACATTAATGTCATGTGGTCACATTAATGTCATGTGGTCACATTAAAGTCATGTGGTCACATTAAAGTCATGTGGTCACATTAAAGTCATGTGGTCACATTAAAGTCATGTGGTCACATTAATGTCATGTGGTCAAATTAATGTCATGTGGTCACATTAAAGTCATGTGGTCACATTAATGTCATGTGGTCACATTAATGTCATGTGGTCACATTAATGTCATGTGGTCACATTAAAGTCATGTGGTCACATTAAAGTCATGTGGTCACATTAATGTCATGTGGTCACATTAATGTCATGTGGTCACAATAAAGTCATGTGGTCACATTAAAGTCATGTGGTCACATTAAAGTCATGTGGTCAAATTAATGTCATGTGGTCACAATCAAGTCATGTGGTCACATTAAAGTCATGTGGTCACATTAATGTCATGTGGTCAAATTAATGTCATGTTGTCACATTAAAGTCATGTGGTCACATTAATGTCATGTGGTCACATTAATGTCATGTGGTCACATTAAAGTCATGTGGTCACAATAAAGTCATGTGGTCACATTAATGTCATGTGGTCACATTAATGTCATGGGGTCACATTAATGTCATGTGGTCACAATAAAGTTGTGTGGTCACATTAAAGTCATGTGGTCACATTAAAAGTTATGTTGTCATGTTAAATTTCATGTGGTCACATTAATATCATGTGGTCACATTAATGTCATGTGGTCACATTAAAGTCATGTGGTCACATTAATGTCATGTGGTCACATTAAAAGTTATGTTGTCATGTTAAAAGTCATGTTGTCACATTAATGTCATGTGGTTGCATCAATGTCATGTTGTCACATTAATGTCATGTGGTCACATCAATGTCATGTTATTTTATTTGATCACATTAATGCCATGCGGTCACATGCTATTAGGTCATGAGGTTACTTATTAATGTTGGCAGCTCATAACCTTAACCTTTCTGCATTTTGAAATTGATTTCCAGATTAAATTGACTTTGTGCTCCTAATTACCTCTCACTAAAATATTTTGACAGAAAAAAAGCTTTCAGATAAGTATTGTTTTCATGTTCCCACAAAAACAGCAAAGGGAGATAACGATGTAAGTGTGGGGTATGGAAGGGATATAGGGCTGCATATATCTGTCCAAACCTGACCATAACAAATTCAGTTATCGTCACCCTTTCACCTTCATCCTTGATTTGAGTCAATGAAATTTCACAAAAGTGTTCAGTTAAACAATACCTTGAACCTTTGTTTAAATGACTGTACCTGTGCCTTAATTTCCACAGGTGTCGAGGATGTCCAAAAGGCAGGTTTGTTTTTGCAGAGTGATTTTGAAGGGACTACAATATTCATTTTGGACAGAGACTTCTTGTCCCTAACAGAGAACAGAAAGGCATTCAAGTTGTTCCAGAACATCAAAGGTAGGAATTTTCATTTTTGAACCTTTCTCTTCCAAATTTCGAGTTCAAAATTGAATCTAAAATTCTCTCTGCCTATTATGGTCAATATGACTTTAGATTTTGGTTTGTTTTGAAGGAATTGGTAAAATCTTAAATATATGATTGGAAGTATATTTCTGGATACTTGTCTTAATTACTAAATTATGTGACCAGTTGAAATACTGTTCTTAATGCCTTCGGCATGGTATTTTCGTGAGGTTGCACTCTAAAATTTGCCATTAGATCTTTGCTGTTGCAAAGAGGCAAATACACAACTATACTGCTTTCCGAAGCCACACACATGCAGGCATACATTACATACAAAGGGACATGTCCTTACTGTAAATCACCTTAAACCCTTGTCACACTAGGGTCGCGTTCCTACTGCGTCCAAGAAAAATCCAACACCGATCTGCGCGCAGTGGAATCACAAGCATCGCCGCTGCAATGCAGTGGGATCACATAGAATGCCGAGCGACTGCGCACACTTTGAGCATGCCCAAAACAAACGCCGGTACTCGGCATTCTGATAAGAGAACAGTGGAATTGCCGTGAGGTCGCCGTAGCAGCGCAGTTAGGTCTCATTCTCTGAGATGACACTGCCTCTGGTGCGCCTATACGTGCCGTGACCACTCGATGCACGCAGTGAAAGCGCCGTGAGAGCGCCATGAGAGCGCCATGAGAGCGCAGACAGTTGTCAACTAGTACTCCGTAGGAATGCGGTAGAACGCCTTGAAGCTCCGTAGAAACGCCAAGGTCGCTGTGAGAATGCTGTGATCTCACAGCACTCTGGAAAATTTAACAACGCTGTGCAATCGCAGTGACAGGGTTTTTAGCTGTTGATAGTAGGCTAAACCCAATAAAACCAAGCCAAATTAGTAAATTAACGTTAATATGTTTTCCTGACTTGCAGAGTATCTGTATCCCCGGAGAAATGGCCGCGTCCTCTTCATCAATCATGGTGTTTCAGAGGAGGCACTGGAAGAGTTTAAGAAGGATTTTGATTTGTCAGACAACTTTGTGCAAGCACTTGTTCACTTCGCAGAAATTACAGAAATTGCCAATTATGTCTACAGACTGATATGTCACGGCGGTCCGACAGCATCCATTGGTAACTATCAAAGTAGATTAGATAACAGTCAAGTTCTGGTCCTTATTATTTCATCTTAATGCTCACAAACTTTAGATAAGGGGTCTGCCTGTCAATGTTTTATTTTTCCTCCCATTAAAACAGCAGCTGTAGAATTTTGACTGAAGCAGGAACAGAGCTTCATTCCAAGTTTTCTTTTTTTTCATTATTTTTTTGAAATATTTCTTTCAGGTCTGGTCAAAATCTGCTATGGCCATCCTGGCCTCTAGTTTACCAAAACATTGCTTAACCATTTCCACTGGGCTATTTTAATAATATTATAATAATTATAATAATAATATTCAATAAACCAGTATTTTCCTACAAGGCTTCCATACAGAGGCCAAATTGAATGGTTTCATTGGTATCTTTATCTGTTGTTATAACACAAAACATGGAGTCTGCCATCAGCCTGTAAAATTATACTGGGTAATGTGTGTGCCGATATGTCCATTGGTAGATGTCATTGTTTTATATATAACATTGTCACAGTGTGGAAGTGTCAGGAGTAATATTTCGACCAGTCCGTTATGAAAGATTTTACTTTGGAAAAAAATATTGTAATTTGTGCCTCCTGGCATCAGAATGTTCGTGATTTCATGATTTCACACATGGTTGTCCCATTGTGAGGTCACACACATGAAATGGGATGTAAGATAGAAATGTCTTACACCCCTTGCTTACCCTGAACAGTTCTGTCGTATATGCACGGGAATGCGCGAAAAATATACCTCCAGATGACTTCAGACAGATGTTTTATGAGGTTCAGTCCTGGAAACTGTAAAACACAATTTCCAATGGTGTTGACCATCTGAGCAGACACTTTTGAAATTAACTTTAAGAAACCAATTGAACTCCTGGTTTTTTGTTTACAGAGGAGTCCGTGAGCGTTCCTACAGGAATAGTCAGAAATCTCACCGACCCAGCCCTTGATTCATCCAACTGGGAAAGGATGAGCGTGAGTTCCTTACAAAATGCTGCGCCTGTTTCTAATTTGCCATCTTACTACTTGCGACACAACTCTCCACCAGGTATGTCTAAACAAGGTTTTTATCTGGGCCTTTTATAAGATTATATGTAGGGTTTATGTCGTTTAGCTGTTAAGATTATGCATTGCCTTTAGAATTTTTATTTAATCATGAATTTTAGACTGACATCAAGCAGTATAGCCTTCTAAACTGATAAGCTAATTAACCCCTGAAATTTCATAATAAACTATTCCAACCTTTGGATTGGAAGGATTCAAATGTGTCTTCAGGGGTGAATGAGTTAATCTTTGATGTACTTACTGTTCAAAATAAACAAAACATCTATTCAATATAGTTTTTGGATTTTCAGATTCGACATTAAGTGGTATAGCCCACTATATTGATAAACATTTTTTTACTTAATATTCAAAATAAAACACATTGTATTTTTAGCTCGCGAAGGGCAAATGAACTTATGCCATGGTGCAGTGTCTGTCGTCTGTCATTCAACTTTTTCTTTAAAACGCTACTAGTCCTGAACGGCTGAGTGGATTTTAACTAAATTTGGTCAGGAGCATCCATGTGCCAAGGGCACTCAATTTTGTATAAACAGTGGGTGTGACCCCCGCTTAGGTCAGAAAAGAGGGGCCCAATATGGGAAATAGAGGTAAAACTTTTAAAATCCTTCTTCTAGCATATGGGTAAAGGGATTTTATCTGAATTCACTTAGTCTGATGTATCCTTGGGCTAAGCAGTCTCAATTTTGTTTAAACGGTGGGTGTGCCCCCCCCCCCNTTGATCAAAGTGGTCTCAATTTTGTATAATTGGTGCCCTTGGGGCCAAATAGAGGAAATAGAAGCAAACCTTTAAAATCCTTACTCTATTTTGTAAAAAAGTTGGGTGTAGGGCCCAAAAAGGGAATTAAGGGATTTCATCCAAATTGGGTCTGGAGCATCCTTGGGCCATGGGGACTCAATTTTGTATAAACAGTTAGTGTGCCCCCCCCCCACGGGGGCAGAGGGGCAGGGCCCAAAACCATTGAAATCCATCTCCTACCATAGGGATTCAAGACTATCCCAATTTTGTCTCCATCAAGTTGTTTAGTAGTGCCTGTTACTGTTAGGGTGTTTTCATTAAAACAAGAAGGCCACCAGGCTGCCATCTTGGAATTTGAAGTTTGTTCTCGCTATATCTCCAGAAATACTGGATGGATCTTTCTGAAATTTCATATGTACATAAAATACCTACCAAGGAGTGCTATATTTTTATCTATATCAAGGAGGTACAGTAGTCTAGTGGTAGGACGCGGGGCTCGTGACCGAAAGGTGGCGGTTCCAGTCACGGCACGGCGTTGTATCGTTGAGCAAGATACTTTACTCCGCTTGTTCCAGTCTACTTAACTGTAAGTGAGTATGTGGTTGGGCAGTGCTAGAATTGTAGAATGCTAGCTGTGAGCGCCGAAATGGCAGCATATGCTACAAAGGGAGTTGAGAAAGATATTGGCTGGTTGCAAAGGCCCTATAACCACGAATTATCATTTGTGAACCGCTTTGAGATGCCCTACGGACTATGTTGTGATAAAGCGGTATATAAGAACCTCAAATTATTATAATTTATTATTTATTATTACTTTAAACATATCCAGGTGAGCAATACAGGCCCTCTGGGCCTCTTGTTATGCATAACATCATTTTTAATTTCAATGACATTAATGTTTTGTGACTTTCAGAATCAGCATCAAGTGGCCTTCACAACATTCGAAGCCCAATGGAGCACTATTGTTCTATATCGTCTGATAGTGGGTCAGCGGATGGGTCTAGGCAGCCCCCAGTTGGGGATTCAGCCCCGGTGTCCTTTAACAAGGGGTCATCAAGGTCACTACCAGCATCCACCTCACCACAAGCCCAACAGGACCCTGCTACATTCAGGTCTGAGCCAGCAGCAAGAGCTATACCACAAGTGATGGGATATAACCCTGGTCAGGTGACTGGAAATAACCCTGGTCAGACGACTCGATATAACCCAGGTCACGTGACTGGATATAGCCCTGGTCAGGTGACTGGAAGTAACCCTGGTCAGGTGACTGGATGTAGCCCTGGTCAGGTGACTGGATATAACCCTGGTCAGGCAACTGGTTATAACCCTGGTCAGGCGACTAGATATAATCCTGGTCAAGTGACCCGAAATTACCCTGGTCAGGTGACTGGATATAACCCTGGTCAAGCGACCCGAAATAACCCTGGTCAGGTGACCGGAAGTAACCCTGGTCACGTGACTGGATATAATCCTGGTCAAGCGACCCGAAATAACCCTGGTCAGATGACTGTATATAATCCTGGTCAAGCGACCCGAAATAACCCTGGTCAGGTGACTGTATATAACCCTGGTCAGGTGACTGGATATAACCCAGGTCAGGTGACTGGGAATAACCCTGGTCACATGACTGGAATTACCTCGGAACACCCAACAGCTCAGTTGATGCAACAAAGAGTGCCTGAACAAAATCAAGAACAAGCAGAAAGCTTTTCCTCTGAGAACATATTTTTTTCAAGTTATCAGCAGCAGCAACAGTATGACCCGTCGAATCAGCAGGGTGTCGTGATGGAGAACTATGTGCAGCCTGTTCCCAATCAAGGAGCAGTGAGTGTTAACACCAATGACAGTGGAAACTTTAGTACATATAGGTCAAGTGGTGTACAGTTCATCAGTCAGGACCAGCTGAGCACAGGATCGCCAATGGTTTCGTCATATGTCCGTGGAGACATGGAGCATTTATTGGATGATCAGGCATTACCAACTTCCCTTTATAATTCAAATAACCCAGAGCAGGGTTTCAAATCAGGATTCTGTGTAGACTGCAAGAAAAGCAAAGACCCCTTGGCTGTAACCGTTCCCCCAGATGCTGCACAGAATCAAGACTTTTTCACAGATGAATCTGTAGCTCCATTTCCAACATTTGGTCCCACTGCTCTGAATGAGGTCTGTGAAGAATGTTCACAGAAAAGGCAAAACATGAAATTAGACAGTATACCATCAATGGAATCAAGCATGATCAACTCAATGATTCTAAGTGATGCAAGTGGGAAGCTTGGAAATAGTAGAAATAGCGGACTCAGTCAGAATTCTTACAGTGGTCAGGGCGATCAGTTGAGTCAACCGTCATTCCAGGGGCAGATGTCAAAGAAAGAACAAGGGTTAAACCAGGGACAGGTGTCAGAAGGTCAAAGGTCAATACATGGGCAGATGTCACAAGGTTATGGATTAAATCAAAGACAGATGGTACAAGGACAGATGTCACAGGGTCAAAGGTTAAATCAAAGACAGATGGTACAAGGACAGATGTCACAAGGTCAAAGGTTAAATCAAAGGCAGTTCTCGCAGGATCCATTGGCTGTGCAGACCCAAGTGGACCAGATAGTGGAGGGGATATCAAACATCAGATTCCCAGGACTTAGAAACATCACACTATCCGAGACTCAACAGCAGATCAGTGGTATTGTAAATGCATACACTGATCAGAAGTGTGACCGAAATAGTGAACAAGGACAACACGACCAAAAAATGGCTCCTAACTCACAGAACCTTAGGATGCAGAATGTGTCTGTCCAGAGGATGGCCTTGCCCCAGGGGATGACCACGTCTCAGAGAATGACTTCACCCCAGGAGATGACCTCGCCTCAGGGGATGACTTTACCCCAGGGGATGACCTTTCCTCAGGGGATGACCTTGCCTCAGGGGATGACCTTACCCCAGGTAATGACCTCATCTCAGGGGATGACTTCGCCACAAAGAATGACCTTGGCTCAGAGAATGACCAGCATGCCAACCATTGGGATGCAGGAGTCGGAAATGAACTTGCTATCAAGCTTTAGTGGTGCTGGTGGTGGGACGTCTCGGGGACTCCAGTCTCTTCCCAGTAATCTAGACTCGCACACTGCAGGCTTCTTGGGGCCCAACATCCGCCCGGGGGATCCTGACAACCACTCAAGTATGCAGTCTGAAACAGGTAAATCAGGTGTTTCCTATACATGCACATGGTGAATCCCTTTGCTTGTGAAGCCAGTTTGATTTCTGCAAAAAATGTGTGGAATCGCTTATTTTCACAGAAATATGGTAATCATGGTCAGGATGGTTTTTACAATTGTGTCACTGTGGTGGGGATGACTTACAGATGTAATTGAGCAATTAAGATCAATTCAGTCATTTCAAGTATTTAGTCCTCTTACATCCGATTTGTAAATAGGAGCTAGCTATCTCAATGTAATAATGGTCATTATCTATGTGATTATTGTTCTCAATTTTGATTGGTTAAATTCAATATCAATTTAAATAGATGTATATGCAACAATAAAATTAAAGCCAAGAATACAGATTGCATATATGTTTCTTATAAAACTCTATTTTACATTTCTGTTTTGTCACTTTCAAATCGTATCTTAAATATTTCCATACATTTTATCCTTTGAATTTCGATAGATAACAGAGATTTTGATGATCGTTTGAATGGAAACACTGGTTCACCCAGAAGGGTATGTATCTCAAACAAAATGTGAAAAAATGTGTGTGATCAATGAACGTCTTGTTATCAACTTGCTGAGGGTAGGGTGGGTATAAGTGAGTTTAATTTGTATATGTGAACTATAAGAAAACGGCTGATATTCACCTTCTGAGGGCCTGTTGGATAAGTGAAGTGAGTTTATAAATGTGTACTATTAATGAAATGCTGATGTTGACTATCTGAGGGCAGGATGGGGAAGCGTTTGTTAATGAATGTGATGCAATTGAATGCTGATGATGACGTTTTAAATGTCAACGGTATATGCACTCCTTAAAATGAATAATTATTAATTTTTCAATATTATACTTTTAATTTCAATTTTAACACCCTAGAAACCACCAGGAGACTTATAGAACAATACCATTATTTTTTTCAGGAGGACAGGGGCACAAGGACCATCAGTTCAAGTAATACAAACAGTCACCGCGGACGTGATGGTAAGTTTATTATAATCCTATCGGTTATCTTTTCATTTTTCTGCTGTGACTTTTAGTAAGGGTTTTGATTTTGTAAAGAGCCATTGCAGATCTATTTCTCCTCACTGAAGTAGAGAGTCCCAATGTTTTGTGTTGTGTCTCTAATGAAGATGATTTCCAGTTTGTTTGGCGTTTTTCGAACTTTGAGTTGCTTGCCTATTTACTATAGCAAAAAGGGAAACATTTAATTAAAAAAACCAAATACATATATATATAAGTTCTTTTTATTTGACATAATACTATATACAGTTGTAATTTACCTTGTATGAAGACAGGGGAAATACCATGAATTTAAGAGACTAAGAACTTTTCAAAACTTGTACACAGTTAAAAAAAGTGGAATACTTAACCTTTTTGTGAATAAATATATACATTTGTATCATTGATGAGATCTTCTGGTATTCATGTTGGGAAATATCAGTGACTTGATGCTACTGTCACAGTGTCATTGATATCAAGATTTCCTGAAACATCACTTTACTCTCAATACATTTAAAGTACCTGTGTAATTTAGTTTGTTTTCCCTTGCGTTATTTGACATAAACTCCTGATAGTATCATGATTTATTAGCAGTTACACAATATTTTAAATATAAAATAAACTGTAAATTGATGATGACACAGGTGATTGAATAAGTTGTATCATAACCCTGAGAAAACGTACCTAAGATGGCTAAAGCTACAGGTATCAGAATTAGGCTTTCTGTGATTTCACCGATCAAGCCTTGTTAATTGACAATTGGGATGAACATTTTGTTGTGTTTGAAGCTGATTTCCTGGTTAATTGTTTTGTGGAAAGTTAGTTTTTCTGTAAATGTAATTATCAAATTTTACTTGGCATATTACACAGGATAATGATGATGTAAGGAAAATACAGCTGTTTAAGGAACTATTGCTGTGTAAGGGAAATATGGCTGTGTGGGGATAGTATAGCTGTGTGGGGATAGTATAGCTGTGTGGGGATAGTATAGCTGTGTGGGGATGATATAGCTATGTGGGGATGATATAGCTGTGCGGGGATACTATTGCTGTGTATTAATGATATAGCCGTGTGGGGACAATATGGATGTGTGGGTATAATATGGCTGTGTTGGGATAATATGGCTGTGTGGGTATAATATGGCTGTGTGGGGACAATATAGCTGTGTGGGGGTAATATGGCTGTGTGGGGACAATATAGCTGTGTGGGGATAATATGGCTGTGAGGGGACAATATGGATGTGTGGGGATGATATGGCTGTGTGGGTATAATATGGCTGTGTGGGGACAATATAGCTGTGTGGGGATAATATGGCTGTGTGGGGACAATATGGATGTGTGGGGGCAATATGGATGTGTGGGGATAATATGGCTGTGTGGGGATAATATAGCTGTGTGGGGATAATATAGCTGTGCGGGGATAATATGGCTGTGTGGGGATAATATGGATGTGTGGGGACAATATGGATGTGTGGGGATAATATGGCTGTGTGGGGATAATATAGCTGTCTGGGGATAATATAGCTGTGCGGGGATAATATAACTGTGTGGGGATAATATGGCTGTGTGGGGATAATATAGCTGTGTGGGGGTAATATAGCTGTGTGGGGATAATATGGCTGTGAGGGGACAATATGGATGTGTGGGGATGATATGGCTGTGTGGGGATAATATGGCTGTGTGTGGATAATATTGCTGTGTGGGGATAGTATAGCTGTGTGGGGATGATATAGCTATGTGGGGATGATATAGCTGTGCGGGGATACTATTGCTGTGTATTAATGATAGAGCTGTGTGGGGACAATATGGATGTGTGGGGATAATATGGCTGTGTGGGGATAATATAGCTGTGTGGGGATAATATGGCTATGTGAGGGAAGTATGCTTGTGTGTCGGAAATGACTGTGATAAAACTATGATAGAATGGAAAATGCTGCTTTGTGAGGGAAATATGCTGGTGTGAGGGAAATATGGCTCTATGAGAGAAATATGACTGTAAGAGGAAACCGTCCGATATGAGGGAAAACAGACTGTGAGAAATGTGGCTTGTAAGGCGAAATGACTCTGTGATGATAATGTGTTTGATTTTAATGTCGTCCAATTCATCCAATCAATCAATCACTGTGTTATATGGACATGGTATCAGAAATTATCATTAATATTTCTGGGGAAATAAAAACACTACAAAGCATGACTAAGACATTGTATACAATCACATATTGTTGATATGATTGTTTTCCATGTTGTTTTCTATTAGACGGCGCCTCGGGCGCAATGGACCCAGGGCCTGCCAATGATGCTGTGGGAGCAGAGAACCAGGTTGACATCCATGATCTAGCCTTGTCCGTGTTTGAGTTTATTCGGGACCAGCTGGACTGTTCCCAGATGTACAATTGGAGGAACCTGGCTGACCTACACGGTCTCAACTACCGCCAGATTCAGGACATTGAACAATTGTGGAAGAACCACAGGATCAGCAGTCCCTTTGAGTACTTAATCCGCACTTTCCAACGCTATAGTGTCCAGCAACTTCGGAATGACCTCAGAAAAATCCCACGCTGTGACCTACTGGATCGCCTGAAGAGGTTGGAGATTGATGGAAAATTACCAGCAGGTTGTGCTGGTCTGTTTACCGGTCCGTCCTGATTGTTTCCTGTGTCTGACGTTGATTTGTAGGGTATCAGTTTGTAACTTGGACATATTTGGCTTAAGGACTTTAAACTTGGTGATGAGTTTGTGTTATCCGAGCGAGCCGTCCATACGTGTGATGATGGGTTTTGTTTCATCAGTACACCAAGTCTGTCTCGTGCTAGGAATGTGAAGATTACATAGGCCAAGATTGACAGTGTTTGACACACTATTACTGTAAATATAAAACAATGCTGTGTTACTACTACCCCAGTGGTTCACACAAGGTGTAATACATATAATACTACCTCAGGTCCTATAGGACTGGTACCTGTGGTCAACACAATAGAGGTGTTGTGTATGGTCCTGCCTTGTTTATCTGGCACCTCTAATCTGTCTGTTAATCACGCCACCTCTAATCTGCCCTTTAATCACGCCACCACTAATCTGTCTGGTAATCATGCCACCAATAATCCGTCTGGTAATCATGCCACCACTAATCTTGCTGTTAATTACGCCACCACTAATCTGTCTGGTAATCATGCCACCACTAATCCGTCTGGTAATCATGCCACCACTAAACTTTCTGTTAATTACGCCACCACTAATCTGTCTGGTAATCATGCCACCACTAATCTGTCTGTTAATTACGCCACCACTAATCTGTCTGGTAATCATGCCACCACTAATCCGTCTGGTAATCATGCCACCACTAATCTTTCTGTTAATTACGCCGCCACTAATCTGTCTGGTAATCATGCCACCAATAATCCGTCTGGTAATCATGCCACCACTAAACTTTCTGTTAATTACGCCACCACTAATCTGGCTGGTAATCATGCCACCACTAATCCGTCTGGTAATCATGCCACCACTAAACTTTCTGTTAATTACGCCACCACTAATCTGGCTGGTAATCATGCCACCACTAATCCGTCTGGTAATCATGCCTCCACTAATCTTTCTGTTAATTACGCCACCACTAATCTGTCTGGTAATCATGCCACCACTAATCTGTCTGTTAATCACGCCACCACTAATCTGTCTGGTAATCATGCCACCACTAATCCGTCTGGTAATCATGCCACCACTAATCTTTCTGTTAATTACGCCACCACTAATCTGTCTGGTAATCATGCCACCACTAATCTGGTTGCTAATCACGCCACCACTAATCTGTCAGGTAATCATGCCACCACTAATCTCCGTGTTAATTAAGCCGCCACTAATCTGGTCGTTAATCACGCCACCACTAATCTGGCCGTCAATCACGCCACCCCTAAGCTGGCCGTCAATCACGCCACCACTAAGCTGGCCGTTAATCACGCCACCACTAAGCTGACCATTAATCACGCCACCACTAAGCTGGCCGTCAATCACGCCACCACTAATCTGACCGTCAATCGCGCCACCCCTAAGCTGGCCGTCAATCACGCCACCACTAATCTGGCCGTTAATCACGCCACCACTTATCTGTTTGTTTATCACGCCACCACTAATCTGGCATTAACTACGCCACCACTAATCTGGCCGTTAATCACGTTACCACTAATCTGGCATTAATCACGCCACCACTAATCTGGCCGTTTTCCCAACATCATTAATCCATCATTGCTTATCCTGTTGTCCCACTCTCCAGCTCATAGTTTTTCCTATTTTTTAAATTCAAGGTTCATACAATCAAACCACTTTTGCATGCAATATGTATAGTTGACAGTATTATACATTTCATAACTTGAAACATGTACAATTTTAGAAGTATTATTAAGTGAAATCACCATCAGAAGTCTACCATAGTTTTTCATGCTGCATACAGAAATTACATATATTTTTTGTAATATTCATTTTTGCATTTATTGATCATGAATTCAATATTGATTAAGTATCTACAGTATTTTTAAACACAATTCGCTTCTTTTAATGTTGAAAAAACATGTAGCCATGTCTTATTCAAGAAAAGAAAAAAAAACCAGCATGCAATTATCTGATTTTAAGAAAATTTGGGTGAGAGATTGTCAATAAAATTTTTGGGACAATGTAGCATGTGTACACAGATAGTTCGTTCATGAAAAATTGTGGTATGAAAGTGCTTCCTGGCATGAAGTAAGTCATATATCTCTTCTAGGACACTGGTCCATCACCGGGTTACCTACTAGAAGGCTGGTACAGATGTACCATTTATACAGCTAGGTAGACTGGACCAAAAGGGTAAAATTTCTTGCAATGAAACTACATGCTGCGAGCTACATGTAGTTTTGATCTACAGTATTACCAGCTGTTCCTGTTAGGATAGAAAGAGGTTGAAGGTTGTAAAAAGTTAATGAAATTTAAGTAATGTAGCAAATATTTATTTTCAATATTTATGGAATAATCAGAATGGTTTGATGTTCAAATTCCGTTTGACAATGATTCTGGTGTTTTTGATTTGATGCTATAGTTTTGTAGATTCTGGTGTTTTTGATTTGATGTAAGTTTTGTAGATTTTTATTATTGCTACTGCAAGCTGGGTACTAAGTTGTTTAATACACAGTGTTCAAGTGTTGTACAGTATTTTATGAATTTGCAATTAAATTAGTTCTGTGTAAAATGTTGTCACGATAAATATGAACTGATTTTATGTTTTAAGCTATTTGTTAAGCTTTAATTTTAATCGTTGCTCAGACCAGATTACAGTCCCTCGATTTATTTGGAGTGTGTTGTGTATATTATAGTATTTAATACATTGTATAATGTATTTTTGTATAATTTGAGATGGACATTCACGCCTGATGATAATTTAGCCACCACTGATCCTGTTGTTCCTACTTTTCAACCAACCTCAATGTCCCAACAAATATTGCTGTCCACTCTGGGTAAAACTGTTTAAAATGTATTGTGACCTATCGGAACCACCCAGAAAGATCAAATAGAATTGTTTGTGTCGCTGTTTATTTGAACACAAATAAATATAAGGATTAAATTTATATTATTAACATTTGCGATGATACGACACCAGATTCCTCAAAAATATACTTCAGTCAAACCAGCTCATGTCTCCACTCCATAAAGAGACCACCTGTCCTAAGAGACCACTTTTTATGTTACCCATTAAAGAGGCCACTTTTTGGACTTTCGGAGGTTGGTCTCTTAACACAAGTTTGACTTTAGATGTGTTACTTTGTATCATGGAATAATTCTGTAAGTAAAATGGTTTTATATGATCTTAAATATTGAAGTACAGTGCATGTATATTAATTTCAGTCGTTAAATATTGTTTAAATTTGTAGCTAACATAATTTATTTGTAATATTGTTAGGGACACATTTTTTACATGCAGGTAATTTCGTGGTCAGGTAATTAAAATGGAAATGAAAATTGTCCAGAAATAAGGCGATTGCAGTTTTAAAGAGACTGTATAGGCAGGGCAATACGTACGCACAATTACTGTACAACCTTGTAACACAAATTCTTCATTTCATAGTTTAAACTTTTGTGGTTACTCCATATAAATCAAACAATAGTCCAGTATATATAAACTGAATTCATCGCATTTATTGTTGTGGTCCTATATAGGCAACCACAAAAACAACAAATATTACACGCATAAACTTTTCCTTGTTATATAGCAAGCCAAAACAAATACGGATACATGTTAAGTGTTAATATTGATTTGATGTTGTAGACTTAAAATGGCATGTACAATCACGGACTTGGATAACATTCCGTGACAAATTAACAGAGACTGTCCGACTCTTTCATGCCCAGTGGTGTAGGATCGCTAAATTTGGTAAAGCCCAGAAACTTGCTGGGTGATTTTGCACGTATTTGAAATCCAGAAGCCTGATTTCCCTGTGCTGCAATGCTGTCATTCTGATTACAAGGGTAAACTCAGAAACCAGCGCTAAGGCATCCCCAATTTCCATCATGGCATTTGAATGTTTCCTATCTTGTGATGTCACGTCATTGATGTCACGCACATGAAATAGGATGTACTAAATAAAAATGTCCACACCCTTTTCTTGCCCTGGACATTTCTGTCATATACACAAGGGAAGAAAGAAATCGTTCATAATATATGAAGTCATGATCATGTACATATTCTCGTAGGATATAGGCATTAAGTGTTTAATATGGATAATATCAGATTTGTTATTTTTATGTCATCAATTGTTTATAAAAGTGCATTACAAATGTGTAGCACTAAAAATTTTCAAAAAACGCTTTGGTGCCAGACACTAAAATACATGTACATTTCATTGTGTCATCATAGCTTACAGCTGAGCATGTTATTATTGGTTGCCAGGTCTGGAATATGGAACGAAAATAAAAACCCACTGAAGTTATCGTTCCATCTAATGTTTTCATTGTTAATGTTTACTGTCTACAAGGACAGATTCTGTAGAAGTTGACTTTTTCACAGTCCATGCATAGATTTTAAGGATTCTAAATGTTCAATTTTACAAAATTTACATTTTGCAGATTTAATGTCTATTGGCCATAGCAGAAATCCCTAAGGTAATTAAGAGAGAATAATTTTACTGCTTGTATTTGTAGTAGAAAATTTGTTGAAGCTTAAATTACGAAAATTAGAATCGTTTGAAGAAAAAAAAATCAAAAAAATGTACAGCCCTATGAAGTAGAAAAGTTTGAATTTTGACGTTAAATTGTTATGATGTGAATACATATTCATTCCCATTGGTAAAACCAACTGCAATACATACATTGTGTCCGTCATTCTGTCTGTGTGTAATTTACATCGATGAAGTAAAAAAAATCATGTGTTTCATTTTTGCTGGTAATGTTCACAGTTCATTTTCCAGTATATGTTTTTGGTCTGATCCAGTGTTGGTTCGTTTCCAGTGAGATTTGTAGATCTTAGCAATATCATTGTCATACTTAAGCAGATTTTGTTTTTAGAATATTTCAAATGAAATAAAAGAATTTACAGTTTGTGTCTTAAAGTATGATGTCATTTTATAAGAAGAACACAATTGTTTGTGTTTAAAGCCCAAATATTAGCTACATATTTTTAAGACATTCACTGTACATTGTTTTTTTTATTTAGTTTTCTTTTGAAAATTTCAACATTTTAAAACAGATTGAAAGTGGTACATATACAGCTGTTTAATTGTACATTTTGTTTTTATTTCAATGTGATGTAAAATAAAAATTGTTGATACGTTTTTGTATATAAATCAACATATCGGTCACTAGTTATATTGTCACTTTTGCTGGAAGATGATTTGAATATTCAATCTATCCAAATTAATCTGGTTTCCTGATTTTCAGAAATCATGATTTTAAACATCCAACCAGTCTAACACATTTCTAACCTCATCTTACTTCACTCTGGCTTTTCTCTGTCACCAAAACCTGGAACGTCTTTAAATTACCATAGCTGTTAAAATGACATCAAAAACGAAAATTACTTTCATTCAGAGTTCTAACTCAAATTCAAAATATCATTCGAGGCAAAAATTTAAAAAATCTGTGCATAAACATTTACTGAAGGCAAGTGTAGTTAATTGAAAAAATAGGAGAAAAAGAAAATTGACTACTTGTTTATTTCAATGTAGTGGCATTTTTGTTTAAGTTTGATTTAGCCAGGTACGTAATATACTTAAATCCTTTATTGAATTTGATTTCTCGAGATTTTCTTGAACAATTCGGCCCGACAGCTGTAAATGTAGTAAAATAAAGGTAGAAGTGTGAAGACCACAGAATCAGATTATCTTTCTTAGTCCGTTGTGAAGAAGACATTGTCTGGATATATCACTCATTCTCTCAAAAATTGGGAAACAAATAAAACTATTAAAGATATATACAGTGATCTATTCCTCTGTTAATGTTTAATATGTGTTTACAATGCAAACAGCTGCATTGAATTCATGCAAACTATGTTTATGTACAATTTCACCTCACAGTTTAGGACGGAGATTCCCGATTTTGGACCCTTCAATTTAGTATGTTTAACCAGTGAATTTGCTAAACTATTCCTTTATTCTAAGATCTAATGATTTCACCTGAAAGAACAACTCAAAATAGCAGGTATATACACATATTTTATGAATGTTATAATTTTGAGCATGTAGATTATCTCCCCCCATGGACATTTTAAAAAGTTGGCAAGTATATGTGTTTCATGATGTGTACAGAATGAAATGTAAACTGAAGGTACATATTTCTACTCAAAGTACATTATGATTGAAATAAACAGCTGAAAAACAGTGAAATATTCTTCTCGTTTTTTTTTTAAATTCTTGATGCAAACACAGTTTCATTAAATGGATTTACTTTTCAATCAGATGGAACTTGTACATGTAGCTTAAGTGGATACCCCCCTCCCACCTTACTGCCAGTGGTAGGGCAAAGTTTAAAATGTGAAAACAAAATCAGTTATCATGAATTTTGCACCCATATCCACCTTTGGAAGTGAGTGGACAAAGACCTTGATTTTAAACCTCAACTCATTTACCCATGAAATTTCATAATGAACTATTCCAACCTTTGAATTAGAATAGTTCAAGTTTGTCTTTAGGGGTGAATGTGTTAATCACAGGAGTCTGACGTTTACTTATTATAACTATAACTGTGTAAAAAATACCCCTTATATTTATCATTTTTATAGTATGTGGGGTATTTTCCATACATACAGGTTTTATAGTTGTATTGATTAAAACTAAAACAAACAATAAGCTAAAATTGTATATATTAAGTTCCCCGGTATGCATTGATGTTTTCGGATCAAAGTTTGGACTTTTCCTGCACACTTGGCATGTCGCGGTGTATACATCTCCAGGAGATTTCCGGCAATCTTCGGCGGATTTCCGCAGATCGCCAGAAATCTCTCCGAGGTGTTTCGATTGAGCCGAAATCCGAAATGACCGGAGCTATTAGATGTAGCTGGTTGTCTCAACTGCACTGATATATTAAGTGACATACATTCATTAGTTTAATATCGCAAAAAAAAGATGAACAGACGAATTTATTAGACGTAGATCAAAGGGAACGTTTGTTTTCACTTTTGGTTTTGTGAGAGTCTGAATTTTGCTGTCATTTTTAAGATTGCAGTCTTATTTCAATGGTTCAATCGTTAACATTCACAATTTAAACCACGCCCCCGAAATGGGTCTTTCACGTCAATCAAATGGCATGGGTTTTCACAGCTAATCAGTTTCTCTGGAATCTGATTGCAATCTTGAGCTTGCGCATACAGACCTCTCTGATGGAACAGACGACAGACATTTTGAAAAGTTAAGAACAGTTGAAATTTGAACGAAGAAAAACGACAGTTTGAAGTCAAAGAATAGGAACAAGGTAAAACGCAAAAGGAAAGTCTCGGCTTATAGTTTCTTCAAAGTGTTTGGTTATTTTTCATAATAATATCACTGATAGAAATCAACAGGTATTTCAGAACAGTTTTGAGTAATATTATGGTGTTTTTTCAAAACTGAATTAACGCTACAGTAAAAACGATTTAAGTAAGGGAAAACATGACCATTATTGTAAGGGAAAACATGACCAGAGAGGAGCTTGAATCATTCTGTGCGCTTGTATACCTCTTATTTCCTAACTGTTTCCGTACGGTTTCACAATACTTGTATCCCGTCAATATCCAAAATGTCCGATAGCATTGGGTTTCCGCTCCAATGGTGGTCGTCTGCTACAATAGGGATGCGCGTCTTGTGATCAGACTGTACTGGAACAGTTCCACTCGTTCCCAACACGTGAACTGTTTTGTTCCGAGTTCCGCTTCGCTATTCGCTACATCCGTTTGAAATCAACATGGCGTAAATTGACAAAAAGGTAGTATATTTCAATTAATCCTTGGAGTGCCAATTACTCAATACAAATTTGTTTCAGTAAATCTTGTGTTAGTTGTTTTTATTTTTTAAATGTAAACTCTTTTATTTTACAACTGTTTCCGTATGGTTTCACAAAACTTGTATCCCGTCAATATCCAAAATGTCCGATAACATTGGGTTTCCGCTCCAATGGTGGTCGTCTGCTACAATAGGGATGCGCGTCTTGTGATCAGACTGTACTGGAACATTTCCACTCGTTCCCAACACATGAACTGTTTTGTTCAGAGTTCTGTTTCTCTATTCGCTTCATCCGTTTGAAATCAACATTATGTAATTAACACGTAGACAATATATTCCATTTCATCATTGGGGTGTCAAATCAATTTTCGTCTGTAAATATTGTGTTAATTGTTTTTATTTAATTGTTGTTGAATGTAAACTCTGGGCGTAACTGTTTCCGTACGGTTTCACAAGACTTGTATCCCGCCAATATCCAACATGTGCGATAACATTGGGTGTCCGATCCAATGGTGGTCGTCTTCTGTACTAGGGATGCGTGTCTTGTGATTTCACTGTGCTGGAACGGTTCCACTCCGACATTTTTACTGTCTTGCCAAGTTTCCACTCACTTTTCGCTCCATTGACTAAAGCAGCGCTCCCAACAACAGTGCTGTGAAACCAATCGGGAACCGTCGGCACTTTTCGTAAACGAGAAATCATTCCCATTGCTAACGGTAATGACTTCACGCAATCCGTTTGAATCAACTTAGCCTGTGAATTGACATAGGGGAAATATTTCATTTCATCCTTGGGTGTCAAATCAATGAATATTTCCTCTGTAAATATTGTGTTTGTTATTTTTATTTATTTGTTGTTGAATGTAAACTCTGGGAACCCTAACTGTTTCCGTACGGTTTCACAAGACTTGTATCCCGTAAATATCCAACATGTCCGATAACATTGGGTTTCTACTCCAATGGTGGTCGTCTGTTACAATAGGGATGCGAGTCTTGTGATCAGACTGTACTGGAACTGTTTCAACTCCTAACTGCTCTTGTTTTACTCTCGACCAACACACTGTTTTGTCCGACTTCCACTGACATTTTTTTTTTAAACTACAGTACTGTCATCATCAGTACCGGGAAAGGGCAATGCTTCACGTGATCCGTTTGAAACCAGCGTAGTGTAAATAGACTGACCATGGATATATATTTCAGTTAATCATTGAGCTGTCGAATCAATAAAGATGTGTTTCGGTTGATATTGTGTTCATTGTTCTTGAATAAAAACTCATAACTGTTTCTGTACGGTTTCACAAGACTTGTGTCCCGTCAATATCCAACATGTCCGATAACATTGGGTTTCCGCTCCAATGGTTGTCGTCTGTTACAATAGGGATGCGCGTCTTGTGATAAAGTCATACGTCTCTGGATCAGACTGTACTGGGACAGTTCCGGTTATTATACGTGTCTAGTCGGAGTTACCCTGAGCTTCAAGTAAATGAAAACTCGTTTTGGTGATTTATAACTACAGTATATATTCGATGAGTGATATATTCAAGGTAATATGATTCAAATTGAACGGAGCGAAGTGTTTGAAGAAATTCTTAGTGAACACTGAGAGGGGGTGGGGGGGGGGGGGGGGGTTTTTTTTTTGTTGTTGGGTGTTTTAAAAATTATTTGAAAATAAACTTAGAAATCTGCCAAAACTGATCGAGCTGTATAACAACCCTTTTTGAAACCTGCGGTTTATATCAAACAGACAGTTTCAGGAATTATTTTATTTCAGAAAAGACAAAAATAACTTACATGTGAAAATAGTTTAAACATTGATATTTATTTGATGAATTGTTTTGTATCCGTCTGAAATACTGTCCTTTATGGTTTCCGATTAAGTTTAGGGTTATCAGTACCTCCGCCCTATCGGCCCCCGGAAAACGCACGTCTGCATGCATCCTATCCAACTCTCGTGATTGTTTGCGTTACCTGCGCATCCGCCATACGTAAACGGAACACAGACTCCCGCAACATGGTAAAAACGTCTCATGTTTGCATAGCAGGGTCCGGAATCTGGAGGACCCGTACAGACTGAAACAAACAACACACACATTAAGGATATAATCTAAAAGTACGTTACAAAATATTCAGTCATTTGCTGTATAATCAACGATGTTTTCATTAATTATGTGTATAATTTTACATGCTTTAAAAAAAGATCATGTACTTTTGATAAATCAGAACTTTTCAGCATATAAACTAACGATGTTTTGCTTTTGCGTTATAATTAAACGAATTCGTTCTTTGTTCCCGCCAAAGACCACTTACGTCCTCTCCTCGGCCTCCACCTGTTGGTAGACATGACAACATTGATCAGCAATAACACCACCACAGTCTTTAACATTGTCGTCTTCATTTCTGTAAAAATAGTTTGATAAACGTCTAAAAAAAACCTGCTTGGTAGTAGGGTGGCGCAGTGGATAATGCACCGGGCCAATGAGTGTGATTATAAGCTTATATAACTTTAAATTTATATTTTAAATAAAGCTTTTCGTAAAAATACTGTTAACTTGGAAGTAAAATGCTTTCGCCACAGTTAAACCTCACATGTGTCACTTTCACAACAGTCAGTTTCACAGGTCTCACTTTCAAATCCGAGAGCAATTTTTTCTCTTCATAAAATAAGGGGGGGGGNGTCGCTATGCTTCTTTTTTGCCTTATTTGTGTGTGTATGTGTTTTCAACTACTGCATTATCAAAAAACAAATATGGGTTTCAGCTTCCCCTTGCTACATAGTATTTCATAATATTGGACATTATAAACGTGTACAGCAGAAATCAACTTGCTACAATTAAAATGGCAATTGGTTCCTGATCCCCAAAACACCTCTGGAGCCGCCACTGTAGCGTTATAACGACAAAAATGTGACCACATAACTACATGTATTATCAACTAGCTATTATTCTATCACGATTTGTTTGCAACGCGTGTTTTGATTGGATACGGTCCATGTTCTAATCTGCGATAGAATCATGATCAATCGTGTTAAGCTCCTGCCATCGCACAAGCCACGCCCCGTTTCTAACCAAAACAGTATGGCGTCGAGCTCGCTTCTTAGCGAAATCCCACTGATAAGGCTAGGCCTAGCAGGCAACAGAACAGAAACGACCGATGAAATGTATTTGTTGAATGAATTGAAAAGTAAAAAGTAAACATTCCTTGTTCTTACCTGCATTTATTACAGAAACGTTCGTTCCATCCGTGTGAAGGCTTCTAACAATACCTAGTTAGATGTACACAAAACTCTTCACAGATCTGTACAAATAATCACCGATTTTGTCGATAAGCACAGATTGGTATGTATAGTGATATGGAAATGTAAGAATTTGGTCAATATTAATCCAAATGTGTCGTATAAACTTTAGTAACAGGACGCTCACGAACAATCCAAATATTCCGCCTCGTCAACATACAGATCGAGCGCTCGCCAGTATGGGCGGGGCCAAATGGCCGACTTTTGAAGTAATTTTTCCGATCGTCGCCAGTTCAGGTTACAATGTACTTTACTACGTACTTTTGTACAAGGAAGAATGGGGATAGTATGTTGTTTTTCCTGGCTATACTGGCGATTAGAACATGAAATTTGGTTTACTGTCTCGAGTTCAAACCATATTTCATATTCTAATCGCCAGTATAGCCAATCAAAACAACGTACTATCCTTCTCTCTAACTGCGAATATCGAATTTGGTCATCTTACAGTTTCCATTCTAAACACTTTGTTCTATAAATTCCCACTCCGGCTTACTGAAATGTACATAGTGAACTGTGTATAATGGAAAATATGAAATATTGATAACAGAAAAATACTTACCAGAATAGCACAATACGATAGCACACAGTGACCAAGAACCGCTTTTATCCTTTACAGATGCTATAAATGTCGTCTTATATCTATCTATCATTCTGAGAAATTTTCGCATGCACTTTTTATTTATTATTTCCTTCAGCGGAAATCATTTTCTGATTACATGTAACATATGCATGTCTGTTGTTTCTGGTTACAGTAATCAATTACTTTGCGGGAAAAACGTCAAACGGAAGGTGAATCATACTTTAAATGGCTGAGCAATGCATATATATGTGTTCTCATATGATGGATCACTTAGTGTAGGGTCTGACATTACAGGTATGTGTAATTGGATGAATTGTTTTTGTATGCAAGTAACAAATATACAGCACTTTGATGTCTAAACCTTTAAGCCGGCTATAGTTTTAAAAAAAGTCGATTACAATTTGAAATTTAATACATTGATCTAAAGTTCCTGATCAGACAGAAAATCATAAATGATGGAACTGTGAAGCTATTTTGGTTTAAATTAATACCAGTCTACAATGGTTACTAAGCAAAATGATACATGGTTGACCAACCACGGATTTATTTAGTTCGTTCTCCGGTCATTTCCTGATATTTTTTGGAGTGGGTAATTAATGTGTTGTTTAAGGTTATACCAAGAGGATGACCGCTGTCCAGGGCCAAATTTATACTTTGAATATGTAGAGCATAGTTTAGGGGAAATATTATAACTCTTTTAATCACAAGGTTTTAATAATCAAGTGTTAATGAGAACATTTTAAATCGAGTGATAAATAAATCTACACACTTTTCACTGTGTTACATACACGTGCGACGAATACTTCTGAATGTATCATAGATATGTACGTATATCAGCATGTGCGTATTTTCTTAAAAAATTCAACACCTATTATGTAAAGTCTTATGTAATTTTATTGAACACGAAAGTGACATTAAGTAGGCCTTCAATATCTGTGAGGTATTTCAAATCGCAGCCGACTGTCCTCGGTAAGGAACAGTATATAGTTATCAAGTCATTTCACAAAACCATTCTAAACTAACTATATCTATGTATTGAAACGTCATTTGTAAAAACATTATCTTCCTTTTCCTCAGTAAAGTAAAATAACAAATAATACCACAGGTCATCAAGCAAGGACAAAATATACCACAGTGTCAATACAAAAGAAAAACATATACAACAGCGTCAATACACAATGACAAAATATAACACAGGGTTAATACACAATGACAAAATATGTCACAGCGTCAATACACGATAACAAAATATAACACAGCGTCAATACACGATGACAAAATATAACACAGCGTCAATACACAATAACAAAATATAACAGAGCGTCAATACACAATGACAAAATATAACACAGAGTCAATCCACAATGACACAATATAACACAGCGTCAATAAACAATGACAAAATATAACCCAGCGTCAATACACAATGACAAAATATACCACAGCGTCAAACCAAAAGGAAATCAAATATACCGCAGTCTTAACACACAAAGACAATCTATACCACAGCGTCAACACTATTAACAATATATAACACAGCGTCACTACACAATGACAAAATATGGCACAGCGTCAATACACGATGCCAAAATATAACACAGCGTCTATACACAATAACAAAATATGTCACAACGTCAATACACAATGACAAAATATAACCCAGCGTCAATACACAATAACAAAATATGTCACAACGTCAATACACAATGACAAAATATGGCACAGCGTCAATACACGATGACAAAATATAACACAGAGTCCATACACAATGACAAAATATGTCACAACGTCAATACACAATAACAAAATATGTCACAACGTCAATACACAATAACAAAATATAACAGAGCGTCAATACACAATGACAAAATATACCACAGCGTCAATACACAAGGACAAAATATAACACAGCGTCAACACACAAAGACAAAATATACCACAGCGTCAATACACAATAACAAAATATACCACAGCGTCAACACAAACGGACAAAATATACCACAGCGTCAAGACAAACGGACAAAATATACCACAGTGTCAACACATAAAAACAAAATATACCACAGCGTCAACACACAAGGACAAAATATAACACAGCGTCAACACAAAAAAGAAATACTAAATACAACACAGCATTAACACATAAAGACAAAATATACCACAGCGTCAAACCAAAAGGACATCAAATATACCACAGTGTTAACACACAAAGACAATCTATACCACAGCGTCAACACACAAAGACAACATACTACAGCGTTTACATTCAAAGACAAAAAATACCACAGCGTCCACACATAAAGAAAAAAATATACCACAGCGTCAAACCAAAAGGACATCATTTATACCACAGTGTCAACACACAAAGACAAACTATTCTCCCATCCTTCACTGGTGTGTCTCCCGTTAAAACCGGGAAATATCAGCATGTCACCCCAAGGGGGAGATAGCCTTGCGCCGATTAGCACGTGTTCAATTGTGAAATGCGTCATCGGTAATTTTGCCGTCATCAAAAGTGAATGACGATATACATACCCACATGTGTTTGTTTACAAACATTGCAGACTACTGTCGGTGGAGCTGTGGCCGAAAAAATAGGATAGGAGAAAAGTAATCATCCCCTTCCTCGAGGGTATGACAGAGAAAACTCTATCCCTCGGGGTGATTGTTTTGGTTGCTTAACCCTTTTCAGGGTTATACCACAGCGTCAATACAAACAGACAAAATATACCACAGCGTCAACACAAAAAAGAAAGACAAATATACCACAGCGTCAACACACAAAGACAAAATATACCACAGCTTCAACACACAAAGACAAAATAAATCACAGCGTCAAAACACAAAGACAAAATATAAACATAATTAAGCGTCAACAGGAAAGTATAAATGTGCCATATTGTCAAAACATAGCCAAAATATACCACAACGTCAACGCACAAAGACAAAATATACCGCAACGTCAACGCACAAAGACAAAATACACCACAGCGTCAACACAAAAAAAGACATAATATACCACAGCGTCAAAAAAAAAAATGGAAAATATACCACAACGTCAACGCACAAAGCCAAATATACCACAACGTCAACGCACAAAGACAAAATATACCACAGCGTCAACACTAAAAAGAGACAAAATATACCAAAGCGTCAACATTCAAAGCAATATATACAACAGCGTCAACACAAAAAAGGACACAATATACCACAGCGTCAAAAACAAAATGGAAAATATACCACAGCGTCAACACACAAAGACAAAATATATACATAATTAAGAGTCAACACGAAGGATAAATGTGCCATATTGTCAAAACATAGCCAAAATATACCACAACGTCAACGCACAAAGACAAAATATACCACAGCGTCAACACTAAAAAGAGACAAAATTTACAAAAGCGTTAACATTCAAAGCAATATATACCGCAGCGTCAACAATAAAATTAGAAAATATACCACAGCGTCAACGCACAAGGACAAAATATACCACATCGTCAATACACAAATACAAAATATACCACAGCGTCAACATACAAAAAAAAGACAAACTATACCACAGCGTCAACACAGAAACCTGGAACTCTAAGTATCCCCCATCGTAAAAAAAGTCGAAAAAAAAGTTGTGTTCAAATGCATTATTCTGTATTTCAATCCAGTTTTATTAAATCATAGTTTCCTTGTACTTAAGGTGGCTCCACACATCGGCATCAGTGTCCGTTTTCGTGACGTACTTCCGAAAAAAGTACAGCTCGGACTCAATTATCGTGAACAAAATGTGCATGTACATCGTGTCGTCATTTTCGTGTTGCGTATCCTATAGATACATGTATTTCAACTCCCAATTTCGAGATTTTGTTAGGAAATCACACGTAATTACGAAATAAAGCTGCCAATACAAAGATATAAACTGACTCACGGGAAGACACTGACATGAGACCAGACGACTTCAAGAAGGTCATATATGAAACGCATGGAATGCAGACTGTTTTGTACCGAACTAACATGTGCTTACACAATTTCACAAGCTCGATGTCGTTACGATTTTCGCTATTGAGCGAATTTCGCTTTGTCGATTAAATCATTTTAACAAATGCAGAGCACTTACTCTGTGAAAATAGTGTTTTGTAAAATATCAAGATCCCTATGAAAATGCGTAGGTGGGTGCACGTGCGAACGGCATACCATGCGATAGCCTCTCAATCTGATTTAAATCATGTTCCCTGGCTTCGTTAACTTCGTACACATGCGTAGTACGAAGCTAACGAAGCCAGGTAACATGATTTTAATCAGATTGATAGCCTCTGGTCATATATGTACCCGACATGTAAATATACCATGCGTTAGCGGGTTATGGAATGATGTCCAAAGTGTACATGACTGAGAGTAATTTGGTTCCATAAAAAAACAATGACAATTTTGATATCATAATTTTACTTTATTTCCAACACTTTCGATATATGTAAAAAGAGAACTGTCATTGTGTAAATTGTATCCTTCTGCAAAAAGTTCCGATTTTTTTCAAGGAAGACAACTCTCACCAGCATCAAAGTGATTGTAAAATGTAAAATAAATTAAATATAAAGCCATTGTGTATATTTTGTTCAATTTCCCACTCTTTATGTATGAATCTTTGTGTCCTGTTTGCTTTGAGCTTGAAGATAATCACTTTAATCCGTACAATTTCAATGAAAAAACCACTTCGTGTAACGTGTTTTATATATTTTGCGATAAATTTGTAGGGTTAATTAGCAATGCTTCTTTTCATTTTTTTTATTGTCGTTATTGTTCAGAACAATGCGACGCATAAAAAGAAACCGAAATTATTGAAATTGACGAAAACTAAAAAAAATTGGTATTTTTTCCAAAGAAGTCCCCAAATCTATCGGAATGCTTAGATTTTCATAAAATATACTCTACAAAGTTGCATAATCATTGTACAAAAGTTTCAACGAATTTTGCTGGTAAATTTCGAAAGTGTGGAGCCTCCTTAATGTATAGGTTGGTTAGCATCTTTAAAATGATATTTTATGAAAGTTACTTTTGATATGGAAAGCAACTTAAAAATGTTGATTTCATTCTGATTCGGAATTGCCGAGTTAATGAGTTCGTTTCCACATTCTTCAAGCCATTATGACCGACATATGAATGAAAATACACAAAGTTCAGTTTATGCATTAATATATAGCTAGAATGTATTAAAATACAGTACATAATGTCATGCACGGCGCAGCGTCCATCATCTGTCTGACGGCAACCTTTAAAACGTCGGATGCTGAGATCAATGAATTATCAAAGCAACATGGGTTAAATATATTATAACATTTCACCAAATGTCTTCAAAAGAACGAGCATAACCCCCTTTTAAGGTAGAAGAGGTAAAATGCTTAAAAACCTTTATTTAAATATCGCAGGGGTCAAATCGCGTAAAATGTTTGATAAAATACATCATCTGCATAACCAATACGTCTAGGGATATGGTCTGTAACATAACCAATACGTTTAGAGATATGGTCTGTAACATAACCAATACGTCTAGAGATATGGTCTGTAACATAACCAATACGTCTAGAGATATGGTCTGTAACATAACCAATACGTCTAGAGATATGGTCTGTTATATTACCAATACGTCTAGGGATATGGTCTGTAACATAACCAATACGTCTAGTGATATGGTCTGTAACATAACCAATACGTCTAGAGACATGGTTTGTAACATAACCAATACGTCTAGAGACATGGTCTGAAATATAACCAATACGTCTAGAGACATGGTCTGTAATATAACCAATACGTCTAGAGACATGGTCTGAAATATAACCAATACGTCTAGAGACATGGTCTGTAACATACCCAATACGTCTAGAGATATGGTCTGTAACATAACAAATACGTCTAGGGATATGGTATGTAACATAACCAATACGTCTAGAGATATGCTCTGTAACATAACCAATACGTCTAGAGATATGGTCTTTAACATAAACAATACGTCTAGAGATATGGTCTGTAACATAACCAATGCGTCTAGGGACATGGTCTGTAACATGACCAATACGTCTAGGGATATGGTCTGTAACATAACCAATACGTTTAGAGATATGGTCTGTAACATAACCAATACGCCTAGGGACATGGTCTGTAACATAACCAATACGTCTAGAGACATGGTTTGTAACATAACCAATACGTCTAGAGACATGGTTTGTAACATAACCAATACGTCTAGAGACATGGTCTGTAATATAACCAATACGTCTAGAGACATGGTCTGTAATATAACCAATACGTCTAGAGACATGGTCTGTAACATAACAAATACGTCTAGAGATATGGTCTGTAACATAACAAATACGTCTAGAGATATGGTCTGTAACATAACCAGTACGTCTAGAGATATGGTCTGTTATATTACCAATACGTCTAGGGATATGGTCTGTAACATAACCAATACGTCGAGAGATATGGTCTGTAACATAACCAATACGCCTAGGGACATGGTCTGTAACATAACCAATACGTCTAGGGACAGGGTCTGTAACATAACCAATGCGTCTAGGGACATGGTCTGTAACATGACCAATACGTCTAGGGATATGGTCTGTAACATAACCAATACGTCGAGAGATATGGTCTGTAACATAACCAATACGTTTAGAGATATGGTCTGTAATATAACCAATACGTCTAGAGATATGGTCTGTTATATTACCAATACGTCTAGGGATATGGTCTGTAACATAACCAATACGTTTAGAGATATGGTCTGTAATATAACCAATACGTCTAGAGATATGGTCTGTAATATAACCAATACGTCTAGAGACATGGTCTGTAACATAACAAATACGTCTAGAGATATGGTCTGTAACATAACCAATACGTCTAGAGACATGGTCTGTAACATGCTTTGAAGAACGAATGTCACGGTGTTCAAATGGATTTCCTGAGCGACCCCCCTTTCATTGTCACAACGGTTATGTCTTGAAATCCTGACATTATAAAGATGCCCAAAGTCATGCTACTTTGTCAGCAACACGCTAAGATAAAGGGCAATCAAGTTTGTTCGAATGAATGACCTTGACCCTCTAACTAGGTCACAAGGGAAAATTTCCTGTTTTATTTTCAGTGGTTTAACGTGCTCACAACCGCCAGGATCTTGAGAAAACGGGACAAATGTCTTGAAAGAATTATATAGCTTCTTCTGAACGGCATTGGATCAATGTATGCCTGTAATGTACTGGATGGTTATCAAGTTTGTTACAATGAATGAACTTTAACCATTTTCAAGGTCACAAAAGTAAAATGTTCAAAATACCCAAGAAAAGTCAAGAGCAATGGCAGTTATCCTATTGCTTGATTAAATGAATGACATTCAACCTCTTTCAAGCTAAAAAGGGTCAGATGTAATTAAAAAAAAATCTTAAACCTTTTTCTTAAGTTCTATGACATCTATACTGATTATATTTGGTCTGCAGCTTACTAGTATGGCTATCAACCAAGTTCTAACTTCTGTAAGATAACAACCTTAACCCAATTTCTTGGCCGGGGGGAAATATTGGGGAATATTAAAACAACCACTTCTAAAGATTCTTAAGGCCTAGAACATTAATTTTAGCCTTCAGCTTTCCTGGGTAACACACTATAAAGTTTGTTCCAATAAATCACCTTGACAAATTTTGTGAAGGTCATATGAGTAAAACAGGTTAAAATCGTCCAACAAAGATCCACAAGGTATAGAGTAGTGATACTGAACCTGTTGTGTAAGCTTCCTAAGTGTGCCAAAACTAATTTGACATTGATCGACTTTTAAGGTCAAAGATGTGAAATGCCTTTGCCAACAACATTGAATCAAAACTGAGGGATATAAGGCCACTGGTCCTCTTGTTAGTGCTTATTACACAGCACATAAAACCGTTCACGTTTCTATAAACCACTATATACCTATTATATACCCAAAAGCATTCATGCACAAAGATTGCAACTATCAGCTTAATTTGGTCAAACAACATAAAACTTGAAGGGAAAAGTGGTGAACTGGATCCAAACTGCAGACTATATATACTCTTTGACCTAGAAATTGGGTCAAGGTCATATATTCAGACCAACTAGATAGCCTTAATAGCAGCACCCTATGGGTCACATATTAATGCACCTTATTGATCTTTCAAGGAATCTTTTATGAAGAATTGGACAAAACAGACCGTGATCTTGAAAGTGGGTCATGTTAATTTATTCTAACAAACCTGATGGCCGGTTGGTTGAAGATTTGATGAACATATTTGACCCTTTGATCTACGGGTCAACGTTATTTAGTTGAACAAACTTGGACCGTAGCCTTCACCTTAGTAACCTTCATGTCGAATAACAATAAACTAATCCTTATGGACCTTAGGATTTTGTTTATAAATGTTGACACTCGACCAATACCGTATTATTGCAGTAGCTCACAAGCATTGTGTCCAGTGAGCTAGTAATTACATCCTACTTTTTTGGTTATTTCCCTTCCATTGCAGAGAATTTGGAATCTTTTCATGGAATTATATGCCTGTCTAAAGTCAAACCAATTTGCGGGGACCTATTATGGTACGAGCAGCCGTCCATCCATCTGCCAGTCCACACTTCGGTTTCAGCAAGATAACTTGCAACCTTGGTATGCATGTACATTATATGAAGAATAAGGCCAAGTTCGAAGTCGATCAAAATCTGCACATAAATGACATGCTGTGCTTGGAATGGTCAATTTCCAAACTTTAGTTTCTGTAAGATAACTTGCTTACATATTGTTCGATTTTGAGGAAACGTAGTATGCATATACATTATATGAAAACAAGCTAAGTTCGCATTTAAGCAAAATCTGAGCATATTTAATACGCATTCTGTGCTCCGATTGTTTGATGCACAATAAGTTCGTCACATATGACAGGATTCTGAGGAGACTTGGTCAATATTTACAATTTGTCTAGCTCGTTCGGCAAGGAATTAATAAACTACAGAAATATCTTTAGTTTTAATGGTGTTAGACAAATTGATTTTTTTTGGCAAAAATAGTTAATTTCAAGTTCTATTTTCAATGGGAGTTACCAGGTAATTGCAAATCAGTTTGTTGAAGGACATGAAGGTCATATGAAATCTATACTGAATAATTCCTTCAGCTTAATTTTTGTCAAATACAGTGTTTTCTCCTTTCACCACATTCCAGGAATAGTTTTCAACTTTATTGAGTAATACAGTCCAAATGTTGTTTATTCATCTTACATTTCCATATTTTTATACATTTAGATACAGTAATGTATCAGAAGGATTTTAAGTATGTCAGATTGGCATGGGGCGAGTGTAAATTGTACTGCCCTGCTTTCCTCATGTTTGTATTTGAATTCAACATTGTTGTAAACTGTTAGGATAATCTGATCTTGAACAACTTGATAATGGTATTAGTTTTAAAGATGGTCAAATAACGGACGCATGTCCAGGAGTTGCCATGACATAATTATACTCTAAATCGGACAATTTTCAGACCAGGTATGAAATCAAGGAAAATCTGTTTGTTGTTGAATGCCAGTAATTTATTAGTCTAAAGGAAATGTTTGTTGATGTTTCTGTATGCTGTTTCGGATTCCAGTTCAAGCCAACAAAATGTCAGGTCTTTCTTTGGTCTCCATCTGCATCACAGATTTGAAAGTCTTGCAGAAATGGAAGACCCACATCCTCACAGAAGAATAAATACAATAGCACTGAGTTTGTATGTACAGTCTCCATCACCTGTCAGCGACTTGCAGCCATGATACCAGATACACCTGAAATATTAAGAAAACGAAATGAGTATATGAACACAGCTACACATGCGGCACACAATACTCATCACCCATACAAACCATGTTTTGTTTAAGTGATAGAGCTATATAAATAAATGGACCATAGGGCAAGTATAACTTCAGCAATAGTTGGTAGAAATGTTGATTAAGGTTATTTATTTTGAAACAAAAATTAGATATTGCTTAATAGTCCTTAACCTTAGCAGGCTACTATATGCCTCAGTCCTTAATCTCAGCAGGCTACTATATGCCTCAGTCCGTAATCTCAGCAGGCTACAGTATGCCTCAGACCTTAATCTCAGCAAGCTACTATATGCCTCAGTCCTTAATCTCAGCAGGCTACTATAGGCCTCAGTCCTTAATCTCAGCAGGCTACTATAGGCCTCAGTCCTTAATCTCAGCAGGCTACTATAGGCCTCAGTCCTTAATCTCAGCAGGCTACTATAGGCCTCAGTCCTTAATCTCAGCAGGCTACTATAGGCCTCAGTCCTTAATCTCAGCAGGCTACTATAGGCCTCAGTCCTTAATCTCAGCAGGCTACTATAGGCCTCAGTCCTTAATCTCAGCAGGCTACTATAGGCCTCAGTCCTTAATCTCAGCAGGCTACTATAGGCCTCAGTCCTTAATCTCAGCAGGCTACTATAGGCCTCAGTCCTTAATCTCAGCAGGCTACTATAGGCCTCAGTCCTTAATCTCAGCAGGCTACTATATGCCTCAGTTTTTAATCTCAGCAGGTTACTATATGCCTTAGTCCTTAATCTCAGCAGGCTACTACAGGCCTCAGTCCTTAATCTCAGCAAGCTACTATAAGCCTCAGTCCTTAATCTTAGCAGGCTACTACATTATTGTATATATGCATCAGTCCTTAATCTCAGCAAGCTACTATATGCCTCAGTCCTTAATCTCAGCAGGCTACTATAGGCCTCAGTCCTTATCTCATCAGGCTACGATATAGCTTGGTCATTCATCTCAGCAAGCTACTATAGACCTCAGTCCTTAATCTCAGCAAGCAACTATAGACCTCAGTCATTAAATCTCAGCAAGCTACAATAGACCTCAGTCCTTAATCTCAGCAGGCTACTATAGGCCTCAGTCCTTAATCTCAGCAGGCTACTATAGGCCTCAGTCCTTAATCTCAGCAGGCTACTATAGGCCTCAGTCCTTAATCTCAGCAGGCTACTATAGGCCTCAGTCCTTAATCTCAGCAGGCTTCTCTAGGCCTCAGTCCTTAATCTCAGCAGGCTTCTCTAGGCCTCAGTCCTTAATCTCAGCAGGCTTCTCTAGGCCTCATAATTCAAAATAAGTTGATTGAGATATTAACACAAATCACCTGTATGACATTGAGAGAGAATGTTAAGTTATTATATTATGTTTGTTGTTTTCTGTTGGAAGAAGATTTCAATATATTAACAGGTTACCATGAATGAATGAGGCAATTAATTTGATTAATGCTGATATTGATTGTTCTTCACTTGTACATGCAGCAGGCCAGATTTATTACTTTAAGCCTTATGGTTTGTTGAAAAATGTAAGCATCATGCAAGGGAAATGTAACACTTACTTTCGAATGTGATTTTTTCTGTGATATTTTTTGTTTTGACATTTTCCTCTTGGTTCAGGATGAAGACATTGCCATCATTTTGAAGGGTCCATCCATATTTGTTGATCCATTGTCGTACCTGCTCCTCTGTCAACAGTAATCATATCTCTTTACAAATATATCGTTATCACATAAAGGACAACCAAATTTCTCATTTTCTGCTGAAAATATCTCAAAAACAACTGCAAGTATGTGTACCTTTAAATCCTACTAGAAGAAAACGGCTCTATTTTTACTGTTAATCACAATATGTTTTGTAAGATTTTATTTCAATTTCTATGGAGACAGATCATATATTTAAATATCTTGTGAACAAGAAACATAATGTTACGACCATTAATGTCCCTTCTGAGAATACAGATCCTTATGAATGACACTGGAGGAAAAACTTTGAGAATGAATATATTTGTGAAGATTCAGTGATTTGATTTACTGAGGCCATTGATCTGTGATGTGGAAACAGATAATTTCCCTTCTGATACTTAGATTGTAATAGAGGATATTAAACCTGATTAGGTTGGAACTGGTTTCAATTGGAAAGGTGTGAGTGGAATTTGCTCAACAATTGTTCCAAACCTGCCTTGCAAAACTTGGCTACCTCATCATTTCAGATTTTTTTTCAAACACTGATAAACATTAAAAATTCCAACATATAAATTATTTTTCTGAATTGGTATATATTATATTTCTCAAAATAGTTCCAAGAGTCAAAGTAAAATTATTGGTGCTCTGCTAAATTGTATAAACACTGACCTGTGACATCTCCCAACAGCTCAGTTAGTGTGTGGACAGGTATCGTCTCATAAGTCGCTCCGATCACATGACACACAACTGTAAACACATACAAGAGTATCACAAGGGTTCCTGTACACAAATCTTTGCCCTAAACAGTTTTAATTGTAATGAAACCTGAAACATCGTAATCGCTCATTTCACTTTGTATTAATTTTATAAAAAAAAAGAAGGAAACTTTCCAAACTTATCGTTTCGGTTTAAGATCAGGAGTAATGTCCATCTGATATAAAGTAAAACAATATATATTGATAAGATGCTTGTAGCATATCACATAAAGTAGATTGTTGTGCATGTTACCGAGACACAGCCTTTTGAAACAATTTGAAAATACAACAACAGGATATATATCGGAAGAAATTTTACAGATAGATCATTTGAACACGCTTAATTATATATCGATTTTATAAATTTGAAAGATGAAAATAAACACACTAAATTATATATAGATTTGATAAATTTAAAAGATGAAAATGGATGACAAAAGACCATTCCAAAGAAATCATACTTACATTTCCGTATTGAGTCGTCAAAACCTTTTATGTTTGATGTTACTAAAGGGTTGCTTTTTAACTCTTTCTGTAATTCAGAGGAAATATAAATCATTTAACAGTCCATATTATCATTAGATTACAGGAGATATTGAAAATATATCTTGTTTAATAGTAAAAAGTCAACTTTGCCAAACATTGAAAATATAGCCAACAGAAAGGAGAATCAGAATCGACAGTGGACAGTTTTGAATCAATTTATACGCCTACAGGGTTATATTTTTAAATGCAACAGCCAATCTTGCCATAAGGTGTACATATGTATTGATCAAGGCAGTGAATGTATAGTATATTTATATAGCAATCTAAAAACATAGTAAATATACACACTAGGGCTGCAACGATACATTAGCATGACGATACAATATGTATCACGATACTGTGGTCCGATACGATACCTGTCACGTTACTGTGGTCACGATACAATACCTATCACGATACATATAGTTACAGTAGAAGCAAAACAAAAAGATATGTTGCAAATTTTTGATGCAATATCACAACAGGAAATAGACTTGGTCCAAAATGGGCATGACTTTAAAATTTCACACAATTCACGTCTTTTGACGTACATGCCGAGCTGGAGCTGTCACTAGCCATGTGGGAATATCGTAGGTGTATCGTGTCCTCACAAAAAGTATTCTGCATCGTACCGCATTCAAAATATCAAGATATATCACACGATAAATTGTTGCCGCCCTAATACACACAGCTTTATACCAAAGTAACATACTTTATCCACCTACTGTTAGCTTTACGATATTTTGGGGGTACAATTTCAAATCACATTCATTCTATTACAAAAATCTTAGAACATATACACTAAGCATTATAATTTTCATTCTGAAGAAAAAAGTAGAATCAAAATTCTTATCGCAGCAGCCTTATATAAATTAAAAGAGCGCAATTTCCACAAAGCCTCCAACTTGTGTGATGGACTTAGTTAGTAAACTAACAAGTAATTTTCATCAAAATCGAATAATTTTGCCAAAAGATCATCCAGAAACCAAACTGTATGTGGTGGTCGATGGCACATTTGCAACAGGACAGACAACGCAATTCCTATATCTGGATGTTGGGCAATACAACACATCGATTTACCTTGGACTGGAATTAATAGATTTGTGAAATGTGCATGTACATAGTACTTGTAGTATCATTCCGCCTGTAAACTCAACCTTCCCACTTACCCAGAACTCATGAAATTGACAGGTTTCCAACAGATCTGCTAAATGTATGACTGGTGTCATAGCCTCTCCTTCATGCTGTAAATAGAAAAAAAAGGATGTCAAACTTACCAAACTCCAGCTAAACAATTCACATACAGTATATGTACCTTCCAAAACTATATCCATATATGCATTGTAGATTAGTGTAAGTGGTTTAGACATTTTGAGTGTTACTTACCAGGGGTGTAAAAATCCACTAGCTTCAACATCAATAATTTTGAAAGTTGTAGAACTTTTTTAAACACTCCTGAACATCTTTTTCAAAATTATGATGTGTTTCATTATCAAGAAATATAGCGGGTCCTGAAAACGCTGGCGAGTCCCATGGGAAAAACTCGAGTCCAGGACTCAAATATCCGAGTCCCAAAAAACACTGATACCATGGCCAGGTACAATACAACAAAATGGCAAATGTTATAAAATCAATCACTTCTATTTGACATGAGCATGCATGTTGGGTGCAGAAAAGTTCATCTCTCCAAAAGTCAGCCAATACATTTTGCTGTCTAACATGTCTGATTTTATCTGGACCAATTTTAGGGAGCAGTTATTTTCTTTAAATGTTCAATAATTTTAAGGACAATTAGTTGAGGGTAAATAATATTATGATTTAATCTGTCCTTTTTGAAAAAAAACCCAAAAAAAAACCCATATCCATTTGTGAATTTGATCAAATGCGATATATAGATCAAGTGTTAATGTTGTCACATTGATACATTGTGTAATTGTCAGGCAGGCAGAATTCTATTTCGAGCTAGTGGATTGTTTAAATAGTTTCTACAAGCAACATGTTGTATACCGTATGCCCTACCTTTGTTGACTCTATGAGACATTTACACAGTGTAAAGTCTGTGTGTGGGAGGTTGGTGAGAGCTTTCAACAGGATCTGGGCAGCCACACTAGCCTGGTAGTGATTTGGGTTAAACTGGTATCTGTCAAAAGAAACAACACATTTGAACTAAATAATAGATATATACATGTATGTATATAATAAATAATACATGTTTTATCAATCAAAGATTTTAACAAAGTGTTTCTTAAGAAAAATAATCTATATATAGTGTTAATTGTTGCAGGTAAACAATATACATGGATAACGCTAGCAATTAGTTCAATCTTAACTTTTCTCTAATTATTAAAGGTAAGCAGAGCAGGAATTGATGCATTATATACCACAGTATTTGAAACAAAAATATTATGCTTGGACAATAAACAAACATGATGAAACAAAAAAGTACATATCTTCTTTCTATCACAGGGTCCCTTTATATCCAGTCATTTACTCTATCATCTTTCAAGGTAAAAGTTCTACCTAAGGTCTATTCTAGTGGTTAAAGCTTGTGGAATTTTATATCTATTGAGTTCCTTAACATGCAATATCAGAATGTTTGAGATACCTCAACCATCATGATAGGTGATTTCATAATGTAAACAGCAGTCTAAATCATTTTTCAGAAATGTATATAGGTAATAACTCACATATTTATAATGTATCCATGACACTACTGTACACAGTGTATCTATACCTATATATTATTCCAGTAAGTATCACAATATTTTGTCCCAGCCAATGAAGAATGGTAAAGAGTCTTTAATTGTTTAGGCCTCAGTGAAAGAAGCCTCAACTACACCTGTATTAAATCATAACCAATTATAAATGTCATGGAGTTTGCTATTGCACTAGCTCTGCCTATAAGTAGGGTGTAAATGGCGGACAAAGCAACCTTACAATTTAAGTACAGCCAGGTTAGCCTCCAGATCATACGTATTCTCCTGTGCTTGGGCTGCCATGTATTTTTCCAGAGTTAGTAGGTTTTCTGGATTGTATCTGGAAAATATAAACAGAGCATGAAAATGGAACAATCAGAAGCCTGTATAATGTATACATATTTACTTAGTACATGTACCCAGTTAGCCTAGGGACATACATGTATATCTAAAACTAAAATCAAATATAGAAGCCAATCAGCTTTCAGGCCACCTAAGTCAAAGAAAATTGTTGACTTACTTCAGGTTTCCAATTGTCAGCTTGGCCAGCTTGAAAACTGGACTTGGATGGCTGACATATTTAAACAATGGCACGGCCTATCATACAAGTAAGTTTGTTACTTAGACCTATCATAGAAGCTGAATTGCATATATGCTGTGTATTTTTTGCCACCTGCTAGTGAATTTCCATGCCATCCCTGAAACAGCAGTGTCCACTAAAGTTTGAATGTGGTTTTTTTTCATGTTTCATGAAGTCTACCAAATATTATACAGCATGAAAGATAGTAAATCCATAGAATTTTATTACATTGCTATCGAAGTCTGGCATAAATCATACATCAAATTGAAAAAAAATATTTTCTCTCAATCCAGACCGCTCCTGGCTTGATATTATAAAAGGTTTAACCGTTATGACACAATCGCATGTTTTTCAGAACAAGGACATTTTACTGGGGTGATGGAGTAACCTTGTTTACATCATAGGTGTATTGACAAACGATCGAAGGTTAGTACGACAGGTGCTGGACACACTATTAATTGTAATCTTCATCTAAGTACCTTCCTCCATCAATATTTTTTGTGGTGGTGTGCTGTACATGTACTGCATTGTTATGTACAGTTTTTTTTTTTTTTAGAATTTCCTATAGGATGAAAAACAGGTTATAAGCTGTTAGTGTTAGTTATGTTGTAGGTTTGGTATTTGTTTGATTATGTTATATGTGCCGTGCATTTCCTGAATTCTGCTAGTGTTTCCGATTGGATGATTATTTTGGGTAGGAGGTTCCGCTGTGTTATGGTGTATGGAAAGAGTGTCTGTATGTGTCTTTGGATGTGTAAATATATGTCTGTAACTTATTAAGGTTGTGTCCTTGACGTGTTCTGGTGTCTGCCGGAATGAGATTGTTACTTGTATTGCTACTTGTTGGTGTATCATTTTGTAGAGAAGAATAATGTGTGTTCTTGTTCTGCATGTGTGTGTGTGTGTAGGGTTGTGTGACAGAGCTTGTGTTGTGATATTTGTTTAGGACCTAGCGTGCTGCTCTTTGTTGTAAGTTTTCTAATTGGTTTATGTTATTTGTGTATTAAACGAGGATCCCAAACTGAAGAGCAGTATTCAAGGTTTGGTCTTACGATGGCTATATATATATGCGTGTTCTTTTATGTGTGGTGAATTAATTTTAGGTTGTATTTCAAAAAGCCTAGTGATTTATTTGCATTTGATGTGATGTTCTTAATTAGATAATTGTTTGATGTTATAGTTTATAGTGTGTATGTGGTCACATGGAGTGTGTATTGGTGTTTAATTTGTGTGCATTTTGGTGATATTGTGAGTATAGTGCATTTGTCTGGGTAGAATTTCATGAGCCAGTCCTCTTCCCATTACTAGCTGCGTCTAAATCTGTTTGTAGTTTTATTGTATCTTATTTGTTATTGATGGTTTTGTAGAAGGGTATGCTGTTATCTACAAAAAGTCTTATTTGTGTACTATGCGATATGTATTTGGGAAGTCGTTAATGTATATGAGTAAGAGGACTGGTCCCAAACAGGTTCCTTGAGGCACTCAAGAATGTATATACTATATACATTGTAATACATATAAATACATGTAGTATTATTAGGTTGGACACAACGGCACACATGGGTAATTATCCTGCATTTCGGCAACAGTTTCTCATTTCAGTAACAATTCTTTATTTCATATTGTTTAAAACAAATCTGTGTGTTTTTATTTCACATTATTCCCCATTTTAGTAATAAAACTGTTACTGAAATGGGTAACTGTTACCCTAATGCAGGTTCGTTACCCATATGAGCCTTGTGCCCAACCCGATTATATGGTTTATACACATCATGCACAATTAGTGTTTCTATAATTTGTTACAGTGATTATATTCTATATACACATCATATTACTTAAGTGTGTCCATCACCTGTGGTATAAAATGCCATTATTATTGTTAAACAAACTAGACGAAATGTGTTCCTCTAATAAATAACAGGGATTCGTTACAAATGTCTAATACACATACACTATATGTGCTGTGACCCATATAAGTATAGCATATGTGTATTTACTATTTAACATTTGTAACGAACCGGCACGTCAGCGAATAAAAAAACAAAACACCGGACGAAAAACATGGGGAATATGACGTCTATTTTAGCGAATAATCAAATCAGTACGGTGGATTCAAGTAGGTAATAGGAGAGAATTCTACTTTCTTAGTATATAAAGGTGATATCACCCAAACCGTTTACCACATTTACCTATCAATTCCTTTCAATAAGGCGGCTACGTTTGCTCTCATTGCTTCAGCCATTTTTCACATGTGTGTGAACTTCTACTTCCGGCACGCGTAACGAGGCGTTCCTAATGTCAGGAATATATTCAACCGGTTACAGAAAGAGGTCATAATTAAGATATTGCAACGTTTTCAGATTGTTGTCTGACTTTCCTTTCCATGAGAATTGTTTATAATCTAATCTTCATAGTCGGCGAATATTTTCCCAATAAAGATTAACGATTAACCAGTTCACATCCATATTAGTGACTTGCATACCATGTACTATCACATCACACAAAAGAAGGTTGCGACTCGAGTCCAGACTACACAGGTCACTCAACTACTCCACCTTCTCAGCAGTCAAGTAGAATATAACCCAGTCCCATATACACCTAAATACCCGTGTATGTTATGCTCAAAAGCAGTGAAATATGGTCAACGTGCACTCGCTTGCGACAACTGTGACAAGTGGTGCCATGTATCATGTGTGTCTATGCCAACAGCAGACTATGACCTCCTTGCCAACTCTTCAGTTACATGGATATGCAGTTCATGTAATGCACAAAACCATACAACTTTATATGACTCCATCTCAGTACACAGTAACAGCTTTGAAAGTTTACACTCACTTTCAGCAGTTTCATCAGCACTGAAAAGCCCAGTATCTACACATGCACCTGGTAGCCCAACAGCCACGTCTTCTCCAAAAAATAGTCAAGCATCGAACCAAAAGAAGAACTACCAATCATTGCGAACTGTTATACTGAACCTCCAGAGTATAAAAAACAATGTACCTGAAACGCCTTATTGAAGTCCTTATTGTCAATTCCGAACCTTCAATTATAAAAGGAACAGAAACCTGGCTGAATGGGAACATTCTCCCCCCAGAAGTTCTACCACCGAACTATAATGTATTTAGGAGAGACCGAGCAGATGGATATGGAGGTATTCCTTTTGCTGTAATAAACGACATCATATGCACTCCAGTTTTCCCCTGTCAAGACCATGAAATTATTGCCATCAAACTTCACATCAACAGGAACAAGTCCATCATAGTTGTTGCCTTCTATAGACCACCAAGTAAAACCTCAGATGAATACGCACAACAGGTAATTGATGAAATCATATATTGACTGGCCATCTCTAACCACCACCTCCAACCAGTATCCACAAGCACTATCCAACAGCTTCATAAATCTAACCCACGATTGCGGTATAGAACAAATAGTCAACTTCCCAACTAGAAAGGACAAAATTCTTGACCAGCAATCCATCGTTAGTAGACAAGATTAAACCAATACCAGGAGTGGGAGACCATGACGCAGTATTGATTGGCTTATCTTTTCGGCCAAGAAGAGTCAAGCCATCTCCAAGAAAGATCTTCCTATGGGAAAAAGCTGATATAACCAATTTGAGGGCTGATACAACAGTATTTGTTAACAAATTTACATCAGGGACCCATCAATGTGTTAATACCATGTGGACCACCTTCAGGGATTCGATCCTGACGATCATGGACAAGCATATCCAAAGCAAACAAACACGCTCCAAGTACACCAACCCTTGGATGAACATTACAACTAGGCAATTAACTTGCCAGAAACAAACAGCATACCACAAAGCCAAAGGAAGTGGAAAAAAGAAGGATGTCAAACTCTACCATCTTCTGAAATCCAAATGCCAGACGAGCATCCGACAAGCGCATGACATATATGTTCGTGACGTCATCAGCCCAGAAGCAAGAAATAAGCTGAAGAAGTTCTGGTCCTTCATCAAAGGCAGGAAACAGGAATCATCAGGAGTAGCCCCATTACGCAATACTGAAGGCCTCATTCATAGCGATCCAACCACCAAAGCTAACATGCTGAACGACCAATTTAAATCGGTGTTCACCAAAGAGGACATAAGCAGCATACCGGACAAAGGACCAAGCCCATTTCCATCTATGGCTCCTATAACTATCTCAACTGCAGGTGTATACAAACTCCTAAAAAACTTGAAGCCCTCAAAGCTTCAGGACCAGACTCAGTACCAGCAAGATTTTTAAAGGATCTGGCCAACGAACTGGCACCAGCCCTTCGTCTCATTTACCAGACCTCGATTAATCTCGGAACTGTTCCAGATGACTGGAAAATGGCACATGTAGTACCAGTCTTTAAGAAAGGAGACAAGAGTAAAGCTGCTAATTACATGCCAGTCTCGTTGACTTCCATCTACAGTTAGGTCAGTGAGCACATTCTCCACTCTACCATCTTGAACCATTTTGAGACCAACAACATACTTACAGACGCCCAGCACGGATTTCGAAGCAAACGTTCCTGTGAAACACAGCTTATCGCAACCATCCAAGACCTTGCAGAAGGACTTTCCAATGGATAACAGATGGATGTTATACTACTTGACTTTGCGAAAGCCTTTGACAAGGTACCGCGTCAACGTCTACTTCACAAAGTCCACTACTATGGAATCCACTGGATTGGAAACTTCCTTAGCAGTAGAAAGCAGCACGTATTGGTAGAAGGAGCTAAGTCATCTGAAGGAGACGTGGATTAAGGAGTTCCACAGGGAACGGTCATAGGACCCCTACTTTTCCTGACTTTCATCAACGACCTGCCTGAACTTGTGAGCTCCTCTGTCAAACTGTTTGCGGATGACTGCTTGATATACAGGAACATAGAAACATCTAACGATAGTAAGATCCTACAAGAAGACTTGAATGCTTTGGAAAAGTGGGGAAAAGACTGGCAAATGGCATTCTATCCAGAAAAATGTACCGCCGTCCACATCCCGAAGAAGAGGAAAATAGTTGACACCGAGTTCCAACTTCATGACCACACTCTTGCGACAGTTCCAGGTGGAAAGTACCTTGGAGTATACATAAGCCAATACCTATCGTGGCGGGATCACATTGATCAGACAACAGCCAAGGCCTCAAGAACAGTAGGATTCTTGAGACGAAACCTCAGGAACTGTCCGCAAGCAGTAAAATCTCAGGCATACACGACCTTAGTCAGGCCAGTTTTGGAATACACATCTGTAGTCTGGGCACCATACCAATACCATCAAATGCAACAAATCGAAAACGTACAAAGACAGGCAGCACTATTTTCTACAGGTAATTACTACTCCCGAGACCCTGGTTGCGTTACTACCATGCTTCAGCAACTAAACTGGGAACCACTAGAACATTGAAGAGTGAGAAATAGGAACATCATGTTCTACAAAATCATCAATAACCTAGTAGAAGTCCCCGTCCATCATCTCCTACAACAGACCAGCGTTGGGACTAACTTATACAACTTTCCCTACAATATTATTATTTACAGTAAAACATCATGGACTCTTAGATATTATTAAAATAATAAAAAAAATAATGATGTTTATTCAGGGATATAATATACTGTAGTACACATGCAATATATCAAGTAAAACATGACTTAGATAAGACATGATTAAGTTACTGCTGGTAAAAAATGTTAAAAGATCTCAGAAATCATCATAGCACTGATTCATGGATAGGATAATATAAACGGAGCACTACATATCACAGATAAAAAAAACTTGTTAACAAAATTAGTCCTAATTACTTTTTCACTATTGCATTCAAATTAAGAAATTTGTTAAAGTAAGAATGACGGACTAGAATAGAATGGGCAGTATGTAACCTAGGATACCTCTTATAGGATTTTTTTACCACGATTTTTCATTATTTCATATTATACGGTCATTTGATGCAATAATACGTGTAGTGACTGAGAGCATGTCTCTCTCGTCACTCAGATGATAGACAGGCCAGGTGACGCCCCATCTATAGCCTAGTAAATATGCATATTTTGAACTCTGTACGAGGTCACGTGATGTGTGATCTTCAGACAAGATGACATTAGAATTTAAAACTACATAAAGATCATCATCTAATCCCAAAATCTCCCGTCCTAACTTTTTTGTAATGGGGCTGAGATGAAAGGAAAACCGTCACAAATTTTCAAAAAAGAAGCATTTTCTCAAAAACAAGACATACTTTTCAGGTATGCTGAACGGACATATTTATTATACGTCTCTGTTGTCTGTCTCTTCAAATCCCTTAGCCAAATGTGGCGCAGAAAATGTAAATGTATTTATGTTCGGTTCACTATATGAGAGATAACGAAAATACTTGAAATGTTTCTTCTTCTTTTATAGTATCTTTTCATCTCCTGAACCAGAGACGTACATACTACATGTCTGTATATGTCTCTGTCTGAACATAGCTCCATTTCAGTTTGCTGACATGATCAGTTTGGATACATTCCTGACAATAGTATTACCCAATCGCGCAGACGTGGCGATTTTGGTTCAGAGTAGTGTCCCTTCAATCGTTTCCGGTATACAACATCATCAAGAACGAAAGAACCAACTAAGATGACGGGTCCCGGTGAACCAGCGAAATATCTGCCCCTTCCGAGTGGGCCAGCGTCCTTGTGTTTCGACAACGACATGTTCATGAAGGTTAGTGAAGTATTGGTTCAGGTTACTTTGGTGGGAACGTGCTTGGCTAGTTAAAACGGTCTACGGAAAGACCAATGGTTCCGACTTTTCGACACCAGCTGACCAGGACGTTTCGGTACTGGAATAATAGAAGTTTCAGTAAACTTCCCTAAAAGGTGTCTTTATGGAAATATCAACATACAATAATGTACAGATACAGTACAAATAAGGAGCAAGCACCAGCCTGTTTTACTGAGATAATGATATGTTTTACATATATACTATGTAATGCATACAATAATAGAATTTAAAAGTGTGCTTCAATATTCAGTGTTTAAAGCCCCTGGCCCTTTTCTGGTAGTCCAAGGTCAGGGATAATCCTGGAAGGGCCATGGCTCCATTGGCCCCTCAAAACTTAAAAATTGACCCCTCCATGGTTCAACTTTCTTTTAATTTTGCATAGAATGGCCCCTATTAATTTTGATAAGTGACACAAATTTGCTGAAATGACCAACTGCTCTCAAAATTCCAGGATTTTCCCTGGTAGTCCGAAATAACTGACTATTTTCGACCCCATCAAAGGGATCGACAATTATTTTGGACTGCTTCATTGTGATTGATGCTTGTACATGTACCATCCATTTATAATATTTTTTCTCTGACACTGCAGGCAGGCCTGTACTACCTCACATTTGGTTAATTTATATATTATAACTAAACATATCTCGCTGTTTGAACACTAGTATTCACGATATGTACTGCCATGTCCATTCAACATCAGAAATGTTGTTATTTTATTCACACTGTTTGAAAAGTAAAACTAATTTTTAAAATACTAATTGGAGTTCTTGTCTATTTCATATGTATATTGTAGTTGAAGGCAGTTGATGGAAGGCTTAAGCTTGTAGAGACATATGAATGTCTCACTTGATATGTTGTCAGCAGATCTAGAATATCCTGCCAGCATGCATGGGACTCTGGTTGGACAGGGATTAAAAACATTTTCATTGTATCAAGCTTTTACACTACATTTTGTTGTTAATACTTGTATGTAAATATGAGGGTGTCTAACTTATTATATTGATAAATGTAGCATGACACAATTGTCAAGAAAGCAATCTGTAGTATTTGTGCTTTTAGGACTCGTTTGATGTTGACACATTTGTGATGGAGTGCCGACGCCGTGTACCACTGGAGACTCTGAGGGACGACCTATCTACTTACCTCAAGATTCTTAGGAGTGCAATGATTGAACTCATAAACAAAGACTATGCAGACTTTGTCAACCTGTCCTCGAACCTGGTACATCATGAAAATATGTCACACATATTTCCTAACTGTTATCATAAACTGATGTTCAGTATTAAAGCTCAGCCTCTTTTTAATTTGACTTAATTAATGAAGAGCACACAAAACAGTTTGTTTTGTTCATATGTGTCCAGGAAAATACCCTTGTAGCCATCTTAGTAAGTTTCTAAGGAAAACACACATATTCGAGTGAATGTATTTAATGAGGTTATCAGCTAATATTAATCTAAATAGTGTTGTTCATGAATGCTCCAAAGATATTTACACATACATTCAAAAATAACAAATTATACCCAAAAAAAATATGTTTATTTGAACTGTCAGTGCCAGTAATTAATGAAGCTGTACCAATTTAGGTTGGGATGGACAAAGCCATTGGTAACCTCACAACACCTTTATGTGAACTGAAAGATCAAGTCATGGTGAGTGCTTTTTATTATTTTATTAAAACGACAGCAACCTTCCAGTTGGTATTGGAAATCCTTTAAGGCTTTATACTTTATGTACCTTTCAGCTTTCTACTGTTGGATGCATTGACATCACTCGGATAAGAGATTGATTTTCTAAGGGAGATAAACCTTACAGACCGTGCAGGTTAGGTGTATAAGGTATACGTAGTATAGTATATAATGTTGAGAAGTTAACAGAAATCTGGACTACTTTTTGATTTTTTCACCCATGAAATTTAGTTGTAAATGCTCTTTTGAAATTGAAGATTACCTATCCTACTTCAGGGGTTCTCTATTTCTCTACTATTTCGGTCTAAAAATACATGTGTGTATTGGTTTCATCATTTCAAAAATTTCAGTTGGCTAAAATTTTGTTTTTTAATTTTATGATTTATGTAATATATGCATGTCAGTAAAGTTCTAGGGAACTCTTGATAAAGCTTATTCAATACACTACCAAGATGTTGAAAATGGAATTTGGGACAGTTTCTCTTATGCTCGATTTTCAAATAGAAAGAGAAAGAAAATGAAAATAGTAGGGTCACCTGAACCACACAATTTGTGTAGGTCTGATCTGGACAAACCTTTACAAGTACTATGCTAATGTTTAAATAGTAAATTTGATACTTTCTGAAAATTAATTGATATTCACTTGAAGATAAATGTAATGAATATTTACTTGAAGATAAACATTTTTTCGCAGACTGTGAAGATTGCCATGGACCAAGCTATCTCTGCAGTAGAACAGAAACTGAAACAGCGAGAACAGATCAGACAGAAAAAGGTAAAACTCCTATCAGAGATACTGTCACTTATTGTACAGGAGATCGTAGATTAAACAGGTAGTAAACACATTTCATTATTTTATAAGAAATACATTATGCGATTACCACACAGTGAATAAGAGTCATGATTTCAGTGTTTTCACCAGTATTTTAGGATAACCAAGTGCTCAGAAGATATTATTTTTTGTACACAATCATATGTGTAAAATGTGCAGTAAGGCATTGTCCAACTTTGTGAACTTTTAAACAGATAATGTTAAGTTAGGCCAAATTTTCCCAGTGTATGTCTGTTGTAAACCTTCCTGAACTCATATCATACTCCACTTTCACTTATCAGTGTTTTCCCAAAATTACAAAATGGTCTGACCTGACTGACTTTTGTCGATTAAATTATTTTGTTAAAATCAAACAAATCAGTGCATATTATAAAATTGGTGGTTTAATAATTTTTCACCAATTCATTGGCTTTATTGTGGAGAACACTGTATTTTACATAAACTTTTTTGTCTCAGGCGTGTCTCCAGAGATTGATGAACATTGTACAGTCTGTAGAGAAAATTGAGAGACTCCTGGGGATACACAGTGGAGAAGGAGGGGAGATAATCCAGGCGTAAGTTGTAGCTAGTTTACAGTGTTATCCATATATACCAGTTTAACCTAGAACTATGCAGCCCATGGCAATACTGCGGTACAAAATAGTATAAAAACAAATTAAACAAAAAAGGGATATTTTTAAAATGTTCAAATTCTTATCTAAAGTAACATGTTTATAGATGTTATTTAGCTATGATTTGCCAGCTGTTTTGTCATTTTTCTATAAAAAAAAATTCCCCCTGTACTCTTGTGAATCAAAATAAACAAATCAGGAAAATGGTAATGATTAGCTCACCAGGTCCGAAGGACCAAGGTGAGCTTATGCCATACCGTGGCGTCAGTCGTCCGTTTGTCAACAATTCTTTCAAACAACTAATTCTTAACCACTGATTGGAATTTATCTAAATTTGACTGGAAGCATGGTGGGGATTACACATTGTACAAATGGTGGGGCTGAAGAGTGGGGGCAATTTGGCTTTATTACTTTAAACGACTTCTTCTCTGGAAATAGGTGATGGATATCAACCATATTTGACTGGAAGCATCCCTAGGTAGTGGGGATTCAACATTGTACAAATGGTGGGGTTGACACCCCCCCCCCCCCCCCCCCCCCAAGGGGGCTGAGTGGCGGGGCCAAAAAGGTTTATTTGTCTATACTGCTTTAAGCAACTTCTTCTCTGGAACTAAGACATGGGTATCAATCATATTTGACTTGAAGCATCCCTAGGTAGTGGAGATTCAAAATTGTACAAATAGTGGAGCTGATCTCCCAGGAGGCTGAGGGGCAGGGCCAAAAGTGGGTAATTTGGCTATATTGCTAAAAACGACTTCTTTTGTAGAACTATGCACTGGATATCAATCATTTTGGTTAGAAGTATTCATGGGAGGCAGGAATTCAAAACTGTACAAATAGTGGGGCTGACCCTCCTTGCTAAGGGGTGGGGTCAAAAATAGATTATTACTTGGAAATGGTTGAGATTCCCAACCTATTTACAATTGCTGAGTATAAAGAAAAGAATGCACATATGCTTCTGGGATGGCCCTGGAGTCTGGCCCCACCCTTGGAGACATAGTCCCTGGGTCATAACTTTGAAATGGTTGAGATCCTCACCCCAAAACTATATATTCAATTGTTGAGTATAAAGAGACGAATGCAGTATTGATATTAGAATTGACCCCGGGGTCTGCCCCACCCTTGCAAACTTAACCACTGGGTCATAACTTTGAAACAGTTGAGATCCCCACCATAAAACTATATACAAATGCTGGGCATAAAGAGACGAACGCAGTCATGATATTAGAATAGACCCTGGGGTCTGGCCAAACCCCTAGGGACCTTGTTTCTGAGTCACAGCTTGGAAATAGTTGAGATCCCTACCGCATAACTATACATAAATTGCTGGGCATGAAAATTCTAATACAGATATACTACATGGATTGGCCTAGGAGTCTGGCCCATTCCTTTGGATCTTATTTGGATCTTATTTTGCTGTGATTGCTTAGATATCTAGGTGAGCGATACAGGCCCTCTTGGCCTCTTGTATGATAGCTAACATATACTGTACATTAAATGTTTTCTTAAATATATATTATAATTTTTAATGTGTTATGGTATCTTTGACAGCCAGCTGAATGGTCCATTGATAGAAAGAGTGGCCAATGAGTTCAACAAACTTCAATTTTATGTCATCAAGAGTACAGGGCTCCCCCTAGTGGAACGAATACGACCAGTAAGTAACCATGATGTCACAGTGTGAAATGTATTTTGAGATAAATATTGCCTCTGTCAGTCTGTGCAAGGTTACTAGTTAAAACTAATACTTTCCAAGGTAATCATCGTAATCATTTCCAAGGTGGCCATGAAATCATCAGGTCTACAGTGCTACAAGTCCCAGTTTCATGAACGTTCCTTATTTAAAAAGCGTCCTCCTGATTATAAATCCCTTTTTACAGGTATTTGTGGGATTGAATTCCTACTATAAAGAAACCCCAATAACATTAAGTGCATTGCCATACACTTACATAAGTTTGATAACTTATAATATTAATAAAATACTAAAGCAAAATAAGGTAATATTAGACATTTCAAAGGTTTACATTCTATAAATAAGAAAGTAAAAAACGTATCTATCAGGGAAGATGTCATCTCAAAGTTGACATAGTGTGGGAAGGGTTTGTGAAAAAGTTAACTTCTGAGAAAACATAATGTTATGAGTATCATAATATATTTCACTTCTTTCCCAGAAAACTTCATGTTTTCACCCATACTTTGCAATGGTATATATCAAGGAATAATGAATGTTCTCTGCATATTAAAAACTTAAATTGAATACATATACATGTAACTAAATAATACATATTTTGTGACAAAAACTTTTTTTTTTTAGAAAGTTAAGTCTTAAATAAGTGGAACTTTTTTCAAGAAATTGTAATCTTGACTTTATAAATCTTGAAAAACAAAAATTTGGAAACTGGATTTCCTCTCATGGACATTCCAGATGTTTCTATCAGAAACTGAGGTATCAACACTAACAAGAATTCATTGTAAAATATTTCTTGTATCACAGAGAATTTCCAATATTACAAGCACACTACAAATAAGTCTTGAGGGTCACTTCCTGGAGGGATTGGACACTGGAAACACAGAGATACTCCAGCAGTGTCTCCGGACCTACGCCCTCATAGACAAGATACAGGATGTAGAGAACTTGTTCCGAAAGGAGAAGGTCCGACCCTACATGGAGGAGGTAGGGTATCTAATGTCTGAGTTTCTAACTGTACTCTTTCTTTGTTTGAAATACAAATGGAATTACATAAAATAAATTATGCTAACATTGTGCATGATTTCTGATGTCATTGACTTTTATAGAAAGAATTCCAGATTGATATCTTAACAAATGTCATTCCTCTTCCGTTTAATACCTTTATATACCCGTAATGATTTGTCATAGAGGATGGGAATAATGATCTTGATTTAATTAAAATCTGCATTATTCAAAAAGGGCAGAATTAAAAAAAAAATGTTACATTCAATATTCTTATATTTTTGATCTTCCTAATTTCTATGCTATGTGACCAGGTGATCAATGAGCAGAATGTGAAGTCCACAGGGGGCCGACCAGGTCTAAAGGGCATGTTCCAGCAGATCCTGGACTTTGTACCCCAGCACTGTGGCATTCTCAGGGAGGTCACCACAGGGGGTCGTATGGGGTAAGTTTAACGAGACACATAGGTATAAAAGTTATATTAAGTTACCATATACTGATTATTTATCGACTTTTACTGTTATATATCAATTTAAAAAAAGAATTTCTAGCTGTATACTTTCCAATTGGTAGTGCTAGCTTCATTTTCCTTCAATCCACAAAAAACATTTATTAACAAATATCATGATAGCAATTCCTTGCTGCAAACAAAAATATCATGATAGAAATTTCTCTCATTCTTATGCCGATATGACAGCTGTCCAGGGCAAGAAAGAAGTATAAGACTATAAGACTCTTTCATGCACAGGGGTGTAGGATAGGGAAATTCCGCCCTTCTCTCATTCCAACCACCAGAATAAGCTCAGAAACCATGAAAATGCTTTTGGACTGGCCACCATTTTGAAAATATCAATTTTCCCCCTGAGCTTTTCAGACGAAAACGAATTAGCCAGCCAGATTGAGCATATCCCATATTTGCAAACAATGTTTGCACTGAAAAACTAATTACATCTTTCTAACGTGTATGGTTAATATATCTTAAAAGGTTTTAATTTCATCACGTCGCCTTTTCCACATTGCCGCATCGGAGAATTCCAAATTCATGACGTCACGTCATTGTTGAGCCATTGTGACGTCATGTTGCGTGAAATGGGGTGTAAGATAGAAATTTTCTACACCCCTTTCTTACCCTGGACCGATCTATCTTACACACAGGGAAATGAGAGAAATTTCACATGTATGATGTCGCAATGGCACAACAGTAACATGACGTCACAATGGCACAACAGTGACATGACGTCACAATGGCACAACAGTGACATGATGTCACAATGGCACAACAGTGACATGATGTCACAATGGCACAACAGTGCCATGATGTCACAATGGCACAACAGTTACATGACGCAACAAAATTGGAAACATTCTGATGTCATGATGCAGAAACAGCTGATGCCTTTTCATGGTTTCTTGGTGATTGAAATGAGAAATAAATACTCTGTCATGCCCCTGGGATGTAGGATAGGAAATTTGTATCTTGAAGTTTTCAAATTGGCGCAAAACCCTCTGTAACCATCAGGTTTTACCCAATTTGAAAACCCCTTGGGTGGCATTCCCCTATCCTACACCCCTAGGCACGATAGAGTCTCATATTAGGACTGCTAACAAAATTTATCTACAGGCAAATATGTCATGATAGTAAGAGTTCCATACTACAAAACCTATGACAGATCTTTCATCAGCGATAATTTGAGCTAAGTTAATTAAGGACAAGTTTGAAAGGTACACAAGTATACAAGCATTTAAAGGCAATAACTCAAAAACACAAATTACAAATATTTATGTTAGTATAAAACTGGTTAAACAACAAACAGTGAATGTGTGTGTGATCTAATCTGTATATCAAGTTTGTTGTTTATCTTTTATTTTGTGCCTTCAAGGATGGATCACCAATGGTAGGTATTGTAATATCAACACAACGATAGGTTTTCAAAATAGGTTTCTGGCTTGGTTAGAGTCAATTTAAGTAAAAATGAGTTTTTTGAGTACATTTTGGTTTTAAAGATAAAATATTGATATAAACCTACATGTAGTTAATTCACTCAAAATAAAGTAAGTTGTTAAATTGACTATATCTCTTCTTTGTCCTAACCTCGCTGTATAGGGAGTTAGTCCTTTGTCAGCTGTTTATAGTACGAAAACTAAAACCCTGATAGTCCTTGGCTTTTTTGAGGGGGGTGCAGACTAACTCCCTCAGTGACTTCCATCATTTCCTCATGGAAAAAGGTAAGACAGCTAGGTGAGAAGTAGGCAGAGCTTGTACTGACAAGATCTTACCCAGTTGTTAATAATCTAGAGACAACAGTACAGACAGCATTAATAGAGTAGACATGGCTCTAAATAGGTTTGTTGGAGTTGCAGTTGGAATATTGCTATTAATGTACAATTTTTTTATCAGATTTTTTCTCGCTATGTACTTGTATGTGTTATAAGATATAAAGCACTATAGAGAGATACAAGTTATTAGGAATTCACAACTGTTCTTTACATGTGGAAACTCACTGTAAATGCTGAATATTTTGTAATATCCAGATAAATGTTAAGTGTTTGTGTTATAGTGCTATGGAGAGTGTGCGAGGCTACGACTTTATGGTCAATGCTGTGTGGCCTGAGGTGGTCAGTAACATTGAGGCCAGGACACCGTCCATTTTTGCACCTGGGAACCCAAATACTTTTCATGATGTAAGAGAGAGGTCGTTTGTCATGATGTCTTACCATAATTATTTATAATAAATCTTGACATTAACCTCGTTATACTGCCACAAATTTTTCACCCAAATTTTGAAATTATAAAGGAATGTGGCAAAATATTGAGATATATAGGAAATATGAAGAAAACCTTCAATGTATGATGATCAAAGGGAGACTACTCATAATATTAACCTTCTATGAAGTCATATGGTTGCTAAATTTGAGGAAAGAGTAGCAAAGCTGCAAGATATGTTCAAAGAATGATTTTAAATTTTCAGGGAATAATTAAAAAACATAATTGATGTAAATTCAAACCACAGTCTGACTTTCTTGGTAAACATATTACATGTATTTAGAAATCAAAATAAATCCATTCATGAGTTTAAGTCATCTATAACAAAATAACATGTCCATATATTTCTTCATTGGGCTGTTTAAATTCGATAACTGATTCTACATAGTTTTGTATATTTCTTTTGTCATCAGAAATTCCTGGTTAGTATGAAGTTTTTGGATGACTTTGAAGCTCTATGTGGGTCTCAGGCCAGTGTACGAAGACTGAGGGAACATCCTAGTTACCATATATTTATCAACAAGTGGAGCTTGCCTGTATATTACCAAATCAGGTAAACATCTGCAGATTCTTCGACAGCGTTTAGTAGTGCTAAGTTTTGAGGTGCTGGCAGCAAAAATCTACTATGGCGCACCACCAACATCACATATAGCGATTAATGGGTCATTTATTTATCCAAAACCGCCCTCATTATCAATAACCACTACTATATTCTTTCAATTGAGTTCCCAGTTTTCAGGCGTTCGAAATTTCCCACCTAAGCCAGTATTATGCTGCCAACATTTGTTGAGGAAATGTGTCATATTATAAAGGGGTTTGTCGGTATTTAGGGAGATGAATAAAAGTCTTGTTAGTAAAACCCAAAAGGGGACCTTCAAATACATTTGGGGTATAAGAAGGTGCCATGAATTGAGGGGCATTTTATAGAAATTTTACGGTATAGCTAACCTTTAAAATGTAAACATAACTTGCAGTTTAGGATTACTGAACAATAATTTTTTTCTAAAAAAAAGTAGTATGACCTTTGGTTACCATGGTCATGTTTTGTATATTATTTGGTTTTCAGGTTCCAAGAGATGGCGGGTTCTCTAGAGACCTCACTTTGTACGGCCTTCAACAATTCTGCTGGTGAGTGTTACAAGTTTATATAGGGACACATGCCTCGACACCTCGTCAGCACCCAGACATTTAACAGTGACAGTCTGTGAAACAGCAACAGTTTCTGCACGTTTTGATATTTAAATTCTTTTACAATTAATCTAGAATATTTGTTTATTCGATATAAAATTTCAGACAAGAACTGTTTGGACAGTATAAGGGCCTACACTTACCATAGTTATCTACAACAGTAAATTATAATGTTATGTCTCTGGTCTGTCTGGAATCCCCAAGCACTCCAAAAACTCAAATATCTTAAAAGATGAGATGTCAGTATTATGTTGACTTTGCGTTAACTTTTTATGAGCGTTTTGCTAAAAAAAGGTTTGAGACAAGAAAAACTGCTAACGTAGGAATACATGTGCTGCTAAAACAAGTCTTTTACAGAATATTTCAACATGTTGTTACTAAACTGTTGTATTTGCGATCCTTTCAGACCAAGACTTGTTCCATCTCAATGTGACCTTGACCTTGTGGCGATGTGTAAGTCGGTGCTGGGGTGAAGACGTTTACCTCGCCCCGATCTGTCACAAACTCTGGAAGTTGTCACTGCAGCTTATCAGTCGCTACTCCACCTGGCTGGATGAGTGCTACAAACAGGAGGTAAAGTTGTACCAGGTCATGTATTAGTACCTCTTATCAGTGTGGTAAAGTTGTTCCAGGTCATGTATTAGTGCTCTTATCAGTGTGGTAAAGATGTACCAGGTCATGTATTAGTGCCTCTTATCAGAGTGGTAAAGTTGTACCAGGTCATGTATTAGTACCTCTTATCAGTGTGGTAAAGTTGTTCCAGGTCATGTATTAGTGCCTCTTATCAGTGTAGTAAAGTTGTACCAGGTCATGTATTAGTGTCTCTTATCAGTGTGGTAAAGTTGTACCAAGTCATGTATTAGTGCCTCTTATCAGTGTGGTAAAGTTGTACCAGGTCATGTCTTATCAGTGTGGTAAAGTTGTACCAGGCCATGTATTAGTGCCTCTTATCAGTGTGGTAACGTTGTACCAGGTCATGTATTAGTGCCTCTTAGCAGTGAGGTAAAGTTGTACCAGGTCATGTATTAGTGTCTCTTATCAGTGTGGTAAAGTTGTACCAAGTCATGTATTAGTGCCTCTTATCAGTGTGGGAAAGTTGTACCAGGTCATGTATTAGTGCCTCTTAGCAGTGAGGTAAAGTTGTACCAGGTCATGTATTAGTTCCTCTTATCAGTGCGGTAAACTTGTTCCAGGTCATGTATTAGTGCCTCTTATCAGAGTGGTAAAGTTGTACCAGGTCATGTATTAGTGCCTCTTATCAGTGTTGTATCAGCATGATTTTGTTTGTTTTCTACCGACTCTACATCAGTTTAACAAATGTTGGTAGATATTAATGTAAGACTCAAATTTATATTCTGAACATTTATTTAATTATGTGCATTGTAAATGCAATGTTCAAATCAAACAAAATTCTATCGTTCCGTGTTGCCTGTTTTGTTTTATTATACATTTTAACAAACATTTTATAAAATGGTGTAACAGCTGTTCTTGTCAGAGAAATAGTCTTGTTTTCAATGGTTATCAATCCCATCAGTGGACCAATGTGGGTTGAAAACAATTTTGGAGAATCCTTAGTAAGTTTGGATTTGGATGTCGCTGTATGATTGGTCCCCAGTTACTACAACTGTGTAACAGAAAGTCCTAAACAGATTCTGATTGGAAAATTACACTTATGCTGTATACAGGGCAATCTTTTCCCAGTCAAATATTTCTCCTTCACTGGTAAAAAGAATATTTACCCTGTGTCAGTTTCACCCATCACATGTTATTACTATATAAAATGCTGTGTTTTAAAATTTGCTTTTGTGATTTATTTTCTCTAAGATGAATGTTGTACTGCAGTGAAAATACTCCCACATCTAACTTGTGTACATTCCAGAGGGTAACATCACGCTTTTCCAGATAACAGAAGATGCTATTGCATTAATGTCTCTGATGTACTGAAGCAAGTGCTTTCAGGACAACATTTCACATTTGTAGGTTTAATAAGAGACTGTATAGTGAAAGGTGTAATTTTGACTCCTGTAATATACTTCAATATAGGAAATCCAGCGTGTGTGGAAAGGGGTAAATATAGATTGTATATCAAAGTTCAGATCACAAAGAATAAAAATTACAAAAAAGGTAGGATTAATTTCATCAATTTATATCAAAACAACCCAATTAAATCCTTTTGTCAGTATTGTCGGGTCTAGGATTTCATGCTAAATACTAGGGTTGTAAAAAAGTAAATTATTAAAAAACAAGAGGCCCAGAGGGCCTGTATCGCTCACTTGGATAGTAAAGCAACCATGGGAAATTATTCATATTACAAAAATACCTCCAATGGTACAGAAGAAGAAGGATTTTAAAGATTTAAACCTCAAATTTCCCTATTGTACCCAACCCAACCCCCCCCCACTCTGCACCCAGAAAGGCCACACCCTCCGTTTATACAAAATTAAGTCCCCTTTGCCTAAGGATGCTTCATGCAATATTTGGATGGAAAATCCCTTCAATGGTACAGAGGAAAGCACACTTTTGATTCTCCTGGTCAGGATATCTACACCATGCATTATGTGTTTTTCAGATTGAAAAAAGAAGTTTGGAAGCAGAAAATCAGAAAATGAATACGTCCGTATCCATGCCCAATTTAACCCATACAGACCGAAACAACGGAGCGATGGACACAAGTGGTACAACAGGTGAGGGGCAGATAACTCCAGCAACACCTCCCGTCACTCTTGGACAAATTCTCTGCCTGCTCTCCGATGTGGAAAAATTCTCACAACAGGTATACAATAAAATATGTCACTGTAGTTTATATTTGATCAAGCTAACATTGTGACACTTTTACATAAACTGTGTCCTATTATATTGGGCATACTCTTATTCTGATACTGCTAATCATTATACACGATTAATATAGTACTTCTATAATTGTTACAAGTTTCACAGTGTGAAACTCTTCTGAAATGGAGATTCATTTTCAGTTTCTTTGTAACAATCAGGTAGCTTTTATCGTTAAAGAGGTGATAAACACTAGCAGGTTATGGCTAGTGTAAATCAGAAATACTCCACTGAGTGTTGGGTTATATAACAATGTACACTTTGGAATAGAATTCTATTGGTTTCCATCTACAGATTTCCAGTTTGTTTGATGAGACAATAAAACCAAAGATAACTGCTGCAGGTTTTGAGGACACTGATAATCTAAAGGGTAAGTGTGCTTCCTCATGTTGTCCACAAATATCAGTTTCAGTAATTATTTATCAAAATTGTCAAAAATAAGACGAACAAACAAACAAAATCCCAGTCAAGCAAGAATGTATATTAGAAAAAAAATATGAATAATGTAGATTAAGTTTTTCCTATGATCTGTAAACATCAGTTTGACCTATGACCTATACCAAAGTGTATTACCAGTTGACCTTTGATCCTAGTCTTCTTTTTATCTCTGTTTCCTGCCAATTCCAAAACTTCAGCTGCCAAGTACTCGAGGATGGTACTTAAGTGTACATGTATGACCCTTTGACCTAACCCAAAGTGAATGACCTGTACTGAAGTGTATGACCTGTTGTCCTATGACTTTAACTGAAGTACATGACCTATTGACCTATGTGACCTGTTTGAGACTTTTACTGAAGTGCATGACCTGTGACCTATGACCTGTTTTAAAGTGTACAGCACTAAAGTATATGACCTGCTGACCTATGATTGTACTGAAGCATATGATATGTTGCCCTATGACCTCTATTGAATTATATTACCTGTTGACCTATGACCTTTACTGGATTAAATTGGTATATAGGCAGTATCCAGGAGTGCAGTGCAAGCCTGATGAGCAAACTGCCACGGTACCGTGAGTTTATTGTGGAGGAAATCAGTTGTCAGTGCTCCATAAATCTAAAACAGGTGAACGATGTCCCACGACTGTATCGCCGTACAAACAGGGAGGTAGGTGTCAGGTCATATTACAGAAAAACTGTGTTTGAACAAAACTTCTTAATTTTATGAACACGCTCAATTCTCAAATTCTGATTTATTTAATCGCTACATTTCCTCAAATGTCAATTGTAAAAGTAAAATATTCACAGAATTTAGTAACGAAATCACTTTTGACATGGAACAGTGAATGGATTGTATAAATTCAACAACTGTAGATCTTTCGAGATGAAATGTAAAATTTAACAATATTCACACTAAGAATGCTTTTATAGTTCAGAAGTTTCTTGAGACTGGGGTCTGGAGATATTAGGACTTTACATCACTTGATAATATACTGTGTGGTAAACATGAAATTATCTAAGTGCTTTCTTTTTACAATTTATACACCATTTTGTTGATTTGTGAAGTCAAGTCGGTTAAGATGTACAGTCAAACCTGTACTCAGACCACAAGTCCATAAAGTAGTCACTTAATGTAGATGGTCTCTTAATAAAGGTTTAGTTAACATGTAAATGTTACGGTATCGGTGCTGTAGCATTCAATTGAGGTGGCACTATAAATGATGCCGTTGGAAGCACAGTCCCACTACAAACAGAACACATTACATCTCCAGCACACATGCAGGCATACACACATAGGGGGATATTAGCCAGGTGGCATAGGACTAGTAGTTAGGGCCTGATAAGGCAGCTCCTGCGAATTCCTCAAAATTGTATTGATTAATGTATATGCTAATTGTATCAATTGTATATCTATGTACTGTAAAGCGCTTTAGAGTGGCTTATGATATAGCTAGATAGGGCGCTATATCAAATGTTGTATAATTATTTATTTAAATAACAACAGTTTTGAAAGTGCATGGTCTGTAACTCGGGTGCTGCCTTTACAGAGGTCGGTCTCTCAAGCAGGGTTGACTGTACATATATTCACTGTACTAAATATACTATTCTGATGTCCACTGTCTCACATTAACTACAAGTTAGCGTAAACAGTGAGAGTGTCATTTTAGTTAGTACTATAATATAATGTTGACTGTGTCTGAATATATACACCATTCTTGTCGAGTTAATATGACAAAAGCAGATCCTGAGTTCTTTATGTGACAAGGTTTGAACAGCTTGTCACTGTTAACAAATACTGATCCAAATCAACATTCTGTTTATCTTGTTTCCCCAGGTACCCGTAAAGCCGTCCACATACATAGGGAATGCCTTCAAGCCGGTCAGTCTGTTTGTACAGGAACATGGCAATATTCTCGGAGAAAAACAGAAACAAGAAATATTTCAAGAGATATTCACTCGCCTGGCAGAACAGTATGTGTTTGTTAAGAATTTCTTGAAAGTGTAATACTTTAACCTACTAGACAATGATATCAATATGTTTAAGGTGTTTTCTCTCTAGTCCTCTGGTACACACTGTACCATAACAGTGAAACTTAAACAACAGGCATGCAAATTGATTATCATTTAATGACGATTTGTCAAAACGGCAGAAGGATAAAAGAATTACTAACTGCATTTAACTGTGATGTAAGACACAGAAATCTCAAACAAATGTTTTTCGTTTCTGGCTTAGTATTGCAGCTGTTGACACGTGATCAACAATATTTTCAGTAAAACATATTGCAGTTTATATACATTGTAGTTTCAATAATGTTACCCTGGTACTCTAGTTATGATAGTTGCATATTTTTCTAAATCTGTTTATGTCGCTTCTGAAGTAGTCATAGCTTGCTCTGATATCAAACTTGTAGAAATGTTTTTTTATGAAAAGGAGATAATCTCTAAAATTCCAAGAAAATACAGACAAATATTTGCTGTCTTTTTGGAAGATATTGGTTTTTCTATTGGGCTAATCTGCCCCTCAGTATTATGGTTATGTTTTCAGTACTGAATGATAGAAGACATATCTCTGATTACCATTAGTGTGTGTTTTGTTTCAGGTATTTCTCTGTGACCTCCGACGTCCTTCTGTCCGTGAAAAAGATGGAGGATTCTCTGAAGAGATTAAAGAGGGTGCGAGGTACAGACAAGGGGGCGGGGTCCCAGGGGCTAACAGATGATGACAAGATCCGACAGCAGATCATACTAGACATTGACAGCTACGGACAACAGGTAACCATCTTAAAACTGAAATTTACAAAGGGCCATTACTCTGTGTGGGCACATGACTTGATTCACTATGCAACACTCGGCTCTTTGAAAGATACACAAGTACAGTAGATTTGATGAATGAAAGTGAAATAGCAATAACGTTATGCTTGAGACAAAAAGACTGTTTCCACTCAACCAACATTATAACCATGATAGCCTTACCTTAATATTTTCCATCATACACGGACACACAAAAACCAGAAGTGAAATATCTCTTAAACAGAGAGGATAAGTGAGTATTCTTCCACCCCTCAAATATTACCATATTTTAAAAATGATTTGAATTTGTTTTTTTCTTGAAAATTCCAGATCACAGGTTATGGGGTGCAAAAGGAAGGCTTGGAAAGCTACAAGAAATTACAACAGCTTTCAGCAGAGGCCAAATCTGCAATGACAACAGCTCAGTGATCACAAGACAATGACATGTTACTATCACATGACAGTCATGTGACACCTGGTAAAAGTTTCATAGGTCATTATCATTAAACAATGAATATTTACTTATGTAATTTTAATCTCCTTTATTTTTACAAAAACTCAAATCTGCTTAAATCATCTATTCACAAACATTTCAAAATTGTAACAAAAGTGACCGATCTAATACAAGATGTGATATGGTTAGACACATCACTGTGTGTCACGATGTGTCGCTACTACATATATTAACAATATGGTCATAGATATGTTGGGTCCATTATTATCGTTTGATTGTCAGATTTGTACTGTATCTTATTTATTGAGGTATATTTATTATTTAATTGTTATATGTATGTGTTTGTGCAATTGGTTGGCACTTTAAAGAGAATATGGTTGTTTTAAAAGTGGGAAAATAACAAATAAAATAGTAAAAACCCAAAGTGTGTCGAGTTCATTTCTTAAAATTTAAAAAAAACTGAACTGCAAGACCTTGAGGATCATCAGGTCAAAAAAATAAACTGGACTAGTTTGGTGTTTTCGTATGTTGAGCTTCTACACTTGTTCTCAGAAATGAAAATGATTGGAGATGACAAATAAGTTCACTTAATTATTCAGTGGCATTTAATTGAAGAAAACAAACAGTTGATTTTTAAAATTTTAGTGGAAGACTGATAGACAATACCGTTCAACAAAAAATGTATAATTTAGGAATAATAAACCAAACAAGTATGTTTATTGTATTCTAAAAATGAGTAAAGATGTCAGAATAAATCAACCATTTTTTTCTGGCAGTAGTAAACCTATTTTTGCATAATTCTTAACCCACAAACCACAGTTTCCTGTAGCCCCTACAACAGACTTTTGACATTTTGACAGATGGATGTACCTCCAGACATCTATCTGAAAAATATTGGCTTTCTTCCCTGGTATCTCTGGTGTGCTTAATTGTGTATAGCATTAATTAGTAGATTTTCTTCAAAGAGTCAGAGTGTTAATTTATGATTACTGGTATGCTGATAGAACAGATCTACCTTGAGTGCTAAAATGTGAGTGCACATTTTATATAAATATGTTTAAGATAACAACAGTTTTGTAAATTTGGCAGAAAAAAGAAAACGCTTTAAGCCTGAATATTTCCTAAATATTTCAGTTTTTATTTTCACCTTTATTTCCATATAAATAAAATACATAAACAACCACTCTCTCAGTTATAATTATAAGGAGCCAACATCAAACTTTCACATCAGACTTTACTTCCACAGGTCAAAACAAAAGATGAGAGCTTACCTGTACAGGAATGAAAAAGCAATGATCCTTTTCTGAAACATGTCTTTAAAGTTTTATCAAATGATTTCAGTCACAATGATGTGACACTGGACTCCTTTATATTTGACAAAATTAAGAAAAAAAATATGGAAATGAAACCATATCACAAAATCTAAAACTTACGATGAGCCCTATTTACCAAAAAAGAATAAGTAATTGGTCATACAGTATAAGCTATTTTATGCATTTGCAACCGATTATTGACAATCAAGGATCCCCGTACCACTGTCAAAAACTGTAACTATGTATTGGAAACTGTTTCTTCCAGCAGAACTATAGCCATGATAAGTTGTGTCTGAAAATAAAACAATAACCAATGGGCCTTATGAAGAATAACGGAGATGACATGAACATATATATAACCATCAACAGTGTTCTGAATGTAAAAAATCCAGGTCTCCTGGACTTCAGATTGTTATACTATTGCTGTAACTGATTGAGTTAACTGGTCAACTGAAGTGTACTAGCCCAACTGTGCTACAGTTATATTAAAATGGAAATTAAGAGCAGATTACTGTGTATAGGAAAAACGGCAACTTAGTTGGACAGGGATTTTTAAGCAAACAAATGCTGATTTAAAGGGTAAAAAATCAGGTGTCTCCTCATAGGCACCTAGGGCACTTACGAAATCGCAAAAATGTTAGAAGAGCTAATTTAAAAGGGTTTGTTATTGACTACTCCTGTGTCATGCCCTAAGAGTTGCTAGGGAAAGTTTTTTTTCTGTTAAATAGTTAAGGTGGCTCCACACTTTCGTAATTAACCAGCGAAATTCGTTGAAACTTTTATATAATGGTTATGCAACTATGTAGAGTTGATTTTATGAAAATCTAAACACTCCGATAGTTAGGGGACTTTTTTGGAAAAAATACCAAAAAATTGAATTTTCGTCAATTTTAATATTTTCCGGGTTTTTTTTGGGTGTGACATTGTTCTGAACAATAACAACAATAATAAAATGAAAAGAAGCATTTCTAATTAACCCTACAAATATTTTATTTATCGCAAAATATGTAACACATGTTACACAAAGTGTTTTTTATTGAATTTGAACGGATAAAAGTGATTATCTACAAGCTAAAAGCCAACAGGACACAAAGATCTATACATATAGAATGGGAAATTGAACAAAATATACACAATGGCTTTATAATTAATTTATTTTACATTTTACAATCACTTCGATCCGGGTAAGAGTTATCTTCCTTGAAAAAAATCGGAACTTTTTGCAGAGGGGTGACATTTACACAATGACAGTTGTCCCTGTTTACATATAACAAAAATGATGGAAATAAATCAAAAATATGATATCAAAATTATCAATTTATTGTTCTTTAATGGAACCAAATTACCCTCAGTCATGTACACTTTGGACATCATTCCACAGTCCGCTAACTCACGGTATGTTTATAATTACATGTCAGGTACATATGTGACCAGAGGCTATCGCATGGTATGCCGTTCTCACGTGCACTCACACATGCATTTTATAGGTATCTTGATATTTTACAAAACATTATTTTCACAGAGTAAGTAGACTACATTTGTAAACACGATTTAATCGACAGAGCGAAACTTCCTCAACAGCGAAAATCGTAACGACCTCGAGCTTATGAACTCGTGTTGCACATGTGAGGTCGGTACGTCCGCATTCCATGCGTTTCCTATATGACCTTCTTGAGGTCGTTTGGTCTCATGTCACTATCTTCCCGTGAGTCTGTTTATGTCTATGAATTTGAAAGCTTTATTCCTGAAATACGTGTGATTATACATTTCCCGGTAAAATCTCGATATCGGGTGTTGACATATCATCGGCACGCACGTGTACTATTGTTTACCAGGGGCCTGTTCGTGTATGCGGAGCAACCGGTTTGACCGTTTATAAATGTAACAATTTCGGGTATAAATCCTGGCGGACCTGCAAATGTATATGCAGGCCTTGCAAGGCTTTCTCACGGCTCGCCTGAAAGCAGCATCAGATTACTAGGTCCGACCTTATTTAATGAACGAACAACAGTGGTCCGATCGGTTTGACCGTTTAAACGAAAACGGTCAAGGTGTAACTATAATTTGCACAACGACATTGAATGCCCGATACGCAATACGGAAATGACGACACGGTGTACATGCACATTTCGATCAAGATAATTGAGTCCGAGCTGTACTTTTTCCGGAAGTAAGTCACGAAAATGGACGCTGATGACGATGTGTGGAGCCACCTTAAATCTGAGTTGAAATCTAAAGCAGACTGAAAACCCTACACTCTACCATTGTTTTGAGACGTGGCTCAAAATTCGGAAACAAAGTCAACTTGTCCAATTTTGTTTAAAAGAAAAAAATTGAAAGCAGACACACATTATTCAAGCAATAAATATTTCTGTTGAAATTTTATTTTTCACAGAAAATAGCAATATAAAAGTTCAGATCTCTTCAATTGTCAGGTTCTCATACCTCTAGATCAAACAAATCATTATAAACCTTGGAAAAAAAGGAGTAATACAAAGCATAGTAGATATGTACATAAAATCTAAGAGGAAAATGTTATATAAAATTCAGATCAAACAGTACTTAGGTAAGTTGTGTTAGTTAATAAATAAGACAATATGATACAATGTATAACTTTTTAAATGTTAAGTCATACATAAATAGTTGTATACCAGGAACATTTCGCTGCAGTTTAACGTTAGCCAGTTTCGTCGTCCATCATGAGGACATTTATCCTGAGAGTGAGAAGTAATACATAGAATTCTGTATATAGTCATTAAATGGGCAAATTAAGGCTCGGGAATGTGAATTTTACCAGGAAGGGGGACATTTTGACAAGGTGAAAGTTTCCTGATATACAGTATTGTAAACATTCATATATGACTGGATTAAAATTTAATGCTACTACAGTGCACCAACAGTACAAGATACTCTGCTGGTCATAGCTTTCTGGTGTTGTGTCACAGTTACTGGTTCTTATATTACATCTTACCGTGAACTCAGCTTAATGTCACATTTCATATCATGTTTTCATAACACCCAATTTTTCTATAAGAACACTTAGTGTAAGCACTATTCTTTTGAATGGTGGGGACACAAGCAAGTGAATAATTTGGCTACACATACAAATCAATGGTATATATATTGATATTTTTTAATCAGTCTTTACATTTTTTGGCTTATTATGATACAAAAACAGGATTAGTGCTATCAATGACAATGTATGTAATTCAGTTTGTTTAATATCATGTAATATAACATGAAATCCTGTTTATATCATGTTCAATTGCCAGTTGTCTAACATATATCATATAAAAAAAATACTTCTACTGCAGACTGATTGGTTTAGCAAGGATGGATTGATTTGTTTGAAGTGTTCTCACTAAGTTTTGAAATAAGTTGTTGACTTGAAAAGAATAGACGGTGGAATGCTCACATGTATAATATTGACCCTGTATGTGTTCTGGGGATCACTGCCAATAAATAAGATTAACCTAGCATATGCCAGTAGATATATGAAATAATCAATATGGGTCAAGTTTCAATAAAAAACATAAAACATGCTTGGGCCTAAGTAGGCTATTGGCTCATTACGATGATTCTAGGCTCTGCATAATTCATTGAAACTTCCCACACATTTGACCTGTTGACCTTGGAAGTGGATTTACTACATGAAGCTTCAAATAGTACGACAGTAGGCATCAGAGTTCTATAGAAAAAGTTGTTAAAGAATAACAGATGGACAATGCACTGTTGCAGCAGTGTAGACATTTGTGCCCGCTGACCTTAAAATATTTCTTAATGAAAATCCAGATTGTTTCATTTTTTCATTATTTAAAAATAACTTTTTTTGATAAGGTTGTTGAAAAACTATCTTCCAATGCCAAACATAGTATTTATATCTGAAAAACTTTAAAAACATCATCTTTGTAAGAAACTATAATACATAATGTACAGGTATTAAAACCAACACTTGTGAGAATCAATATATTCAAAATGCATAAAATAAATATAATACACAGTTCAGACCAGTTCAACTGCTGTAAGATTGTGGCCTATCACCTGACAGCACCCGGACCATAGCGTAGCTCCTGCTCGAATTGCTCTGCAGTAAATGTTCCATCAAGCCTCTCACAGTTTGGGTTAAACACGGAATAGGCACTTAGTTGGTTTTTCTTCCTTTTTCTATTGCTCAAGCTTTTGTAGAGAAAAATAAAGGCCGATAACAAAACAAAGATGGCACCAAATTGCATCTCTACGAAGAGTCCCCACAGAGCAAGCCATAACAGACACTTAAGACCAAACACCATTATTGCTAATTTATCCCACACTTTAGGCTCTGAAACCTCTTCCCCGGGATCTTCCTGCTGCTGCTGCTGCTGTTGGCCGTCTTTAGTTGACATAGCTGCAGAGTTTGTATTATTTTGAGATTCTGATATAGATTATGAAGAGTCAACACACCCATCAGTCTGAAATATACATGTGGATAAGTTGTTAAAAGCTGAGTACATGTGTAGCAGAAGGAATAAAAAAACAAAGGGACCAGAGAAGATTTTGACCCTGAAACTCTTTAGATAGTTGTTCTATAAGTAACTTAAAACATTTGATCATCTTTGCTGACTGGCCTTGTCCCTATACATTTTTCATTTGTAGCCCGTAGCTGGTAAAAATATGGTCCTACTGCAGATATTTCACCAGTAAGAAGAATAGTAATGGGGCACTTTGTACTGAAATTAACCACCTACTTTATGTGCATGCAACTTGAATCTTAATAAAACCTTTGGATACAGTTACCAATGCAACAGGAAGGGGAAACTTCAATAGACTAGATCAGGATTCAAACCTGAGACTCTTTACTCTGAGCTAGAGGTATATCCTCCAGTAATACACTGTAGTAAATGCTTATCTATAATTAACCCTGTCATATTCAGCCATATTCTTCACTGTTTTTGCTCAGTCCCTTTCCAACCTTTCCATCTAAAGTCTGAGTACCCTTCCATCCCTTAAAAAGGTTTGAGGAACCCACACCTCCACATTTTAAAGTCTACGGACAATCATCCCTTCCATTTAAAGTCTGATGACCCCAGTCCTCCCCTTTAAAATATGATAACCCCAACCCTCACTTTTTAAGTCTGAGGACCCTACCTCTTTGATTCAACGTCTCACTTTTAGGACAACAATAACTGTAAACATTGTTTGAAGTTGTTTAAAAGTTTTTCACACACTATGACCTTGAAAGTTGGTCAAGGTGATTTATTTCAACTAACTAGCATTTCATCCAAGCATGATACTGCATGCGTACATGTACAGACCAAATATAATGTACCAAGGAACAGACCAAATATACTGCTGCTCTAAGGACTCTCACATTGTATGATATGAAATGTTGTTAAAATTAAATGTTATAACACATTTAACTGCTTAACTTTGCAAGTGGGTCAAGGTCATACATTTGAACAAAGTTTATAGCCATAACATACGGTATAATAAAGACCACAACTGTATAACGTTGGCATTTTGGTATATTTCATGTCATATATCCAGATATCGGTATTAGTAGATGTGTTTACATATTTAATTATTATACATTACCCGAAGTAATCATTCTACTCTCTGAATATTGTGTAATACTACCATCAATGCTTTCATGTTAAAATCTATTTCTCTTTATATATATACATTACTGTCTATGATATCTATTATTTACTTTATTCACTTTGACTTGTACATGTATATATGTGGTACCTATTTGAGAGGACTTATCTTCAACATCTTGGAAGTATTATTTATAGCTATATATAGTATCCCGATATTTCATTTCAACAAATTTTATTGTTTAGATATAGTCTTGCCTGTTGTCCAATCTATTTGTTTTCTAAACAATAAAATTTGTTGAAATGAAATATCGGGATACTATATATAGCTATAAATAATACTTCCAAGATGTTGATAAAGAGATTGACCAGCCGGGGTTTTCTCAGGCCCTGACATAAGACAAAAAAAGTTTGACAGATAGATGTCTGGATTGGGCAGACATCTAGCTGTCAAAATGTTGAAGTCTAGTGTCAGGGCATGATGAAACTTAGTACTTATATTATTACCCGTCTCTCGTCGTCAGAAAGCTACGTTATCGCATCTTGAGGGAACCTAGTATAGGCTTGAATTTGACAAACACACGAATTACCTTATTTCGCCGCAGTAAGTTTGATATGAGACCGGATTGACTGCCTTCCTGTCTACCAGTTTCTTTGGCTTTCCTTGCTCGGTACTCTGCAAGCTTGGCCTCCATCCCACCTCTCACCCCCTACGTCCAAAAATAAACCTCTGTACACGTTGATGTGTTGTTATTTACATTCTACTTTCATTTCTACAAAAGGAGAGTATAATCAAGGGAGGTAACTGTTCTAAATGAAATGGATTCGTCTGATTTGAGGAAACACATTGCAGAATCATAGGGATACACCGTCATATTTTAGTAAAAAGAAACATCTTTTTACGACAAATTCGAAGAATGATTTCCGCGCAATTTGTTCAAATATATAACGTGTAGAGTTGTCACATAGATCGTGGCGAGAATAATGTTAGTTAGTTAGTTTACACATGTAGTTAGTTAGTCGAGAGTAAGGGCCAAGTGAGCTTATGCCGTATGGTGCGGCGTCCGTCGTCAATATTTTACTTTAAACAACTTCTTCTCAATAACCAAAAGGCCCAGGGTACTGACATTGGGCCTGCAGTATGCTGGGATGAAGGGCTACCAAGTTTGTCTAAATGAATGACCGTGACCCACTTTCAATGTCACATGGGTCAAATATGTTAAAATCTTCAAACAACCTCTTCTAAATAACCAAAAGGCCCAGGGTACTGGTATTGGGCCTGTAGTATGCTGGGATGAAGGGCTACCAAGTTTGACCAAATGAATGACCGTGACCCACTTTAAATGTCACATGGGTCAAATATGTTAAAATCTTCAAACGACATGCTTTTTCTCCATAACGAAAAGGCGCAGGGTACTGATATTGGGCACCATAGTATTTAGTCAAGCGAATGAAACTTTCTAGATACAATTAAGCGATAACAGACCGAAATTCTCCAGATAAAAAAATTCAAATACTGAAGTGAACAAAGGGCAATAACTTTTGAAAAAATTATCAAATATCGTGGCGAGAATAATGTTAGTTAGTTAGTTTACACATGTAGTTAGTTAGTCGAGAGTAAGGGCCAAGTGAGCTTATGCCGTATGGTGCGGCGTCCGTCGTCAATATTTTACTTTAAACAACTTCTTCTCAATAACCAAAAGGCCTAGGGTACTGACATTGGGCCTGCAGTATGCTGGGATGAAGCGCTACCAAGTTTGTCTAAATGAAGGACCGTGACCCACTTTCAATGTCACATGGGTCAAACATGTTAAAATCTTCAAACAACTTCTGCTCAATAACCAAAGGGCAGAGGGTACTGAAATTGGACCTGTAGCATGATGGGATGAAGGGCTACCAAGTTTTTCCAAATGAATGACCGTGACCCACTTTAAATGTCACATGGGTCAAATATGTTAAAATCTTCAAACGACGCACTTTTTCTCCATAATGAAAAGGCCCAGGGTACTGATATTGGGGCTGTGGCATGCTTGGATAAAGGGCTACCAAGTTTGTTCAAATGAATAAACTTGACCTACTTTCCATGTCACATGGGTCAAATATGTTAAAATCTTCAAACAGCCTCTTCTAAATAACCAAAAGGCTCAAAGTACTGATATTGGCCTGTAGCATGATGGGATGAAGGACTACCAAGTTTGTTCAAATGAATGAACTTGCACTACTTTCCATGTCACATGGGTCAAATATGTTAAAATCTTCAAACGACATGCTTTTTCTCCATAACGAAAAGGCAAAGGGTACTGATATTGGGCTTGTGGCATGCTTGGATAAAGGGCTACCAAGTTTGTTCAAATGAATGACCTTGACACACTTTCAAGGTCACATGGGTCAATTGTCTTAAAATCTTCAAAGAACTTCTGCTCAATAAACAAAAGGCAGAGGGTACTGAAATTGGACCTGTAGCATGCTGGGATGAAGGCCTACCAAGTTTGTTCAAATGAATGAACTTGCACTACTTTCCATGTCACATGGGTCAAATATGTTAAAATCTTCAAACGACATGCTTTTTCTCCATAACGAAAAGGCAAAGGGTACTGATATTGGGCTTGTGGCATGCTTGGATAAAGGGCTACCAAGTTTGTTCAAATGAATGACCTTGACCCACTTTCAAGGTCACATGGGTCAATTGTCTTAACATCTTCAAACAACTTCTGCTCAATAACCAAAAGGCAGAGGGTACTGAAATTGGACCTGTAGCATGCTGGGATGAAGGGCTACCAAGTTTGACCAAATGAATGACCGTGACCCACTTTAAATGTCACATGGGTCAAATATGTTAAAATCTTCAAACAGCCTCTTCTAAATAACCAAAAGGACCAGGGTACTGGTATTGGGCCTGTAGTATGCTTGGATGAAGGGCTACCAAGTTTGACCAAATGAATGACCGTGACCCACTTTCAATGTCCCATGGGTCAAATATGTTAAAATCTTCAAACAACCTCTTCTAAATACCCAAAAGGCCCAGGGTACTGGCATTGGGCCTGTAGTATGCTGGGATGAAGGGCTACCAAGTTTTTCCAAATGAATGACCGTGACCCACTTTAAATGTCACATGGGTCAAATATGTTAAAATCTTCAAACGACGTACTTTTTCTCCATAACGAAAAGGCCCAGGGTACTGATATTGGCCACCATATTATTTAGTCAAGCGAATGAAACTTTCTAGATACAATTAAGCGATAACAGACCGAAAATCTCCAGATAAAAAAATTCAAATACTGAAGTGAACAAAGGGCAATAACTTTTGCAAAAATTGTCAAACCAAAATTCTTTTAAAGGAAACACAACAACATATCATGATTATTTAGCCTACTATGTTTCAAAGAAATCTGTCAAAAAATGAAGGAGATCTCCGGACAAAAAATCAAATACTGAAATGAACAAAGGGCAATAACTTTTGGAAAAATTATCAAATCAAAATTCTTTTAATGGAGACACAACTTCATATCATGTTTATAACGTATACCAAGTTTCAAAGAGATCCGTTATAAAATGTAGGAGGAGGTTGCTGGACAAAAATCAAATACTGAAATGAACAAAGGGCAATAACTTTTGGAAAAATTATCAAATCAAAATTCTTTTAATGGAGACACAACTTCATATCATGTTTATAATGTATACCAAGTTTCAAAGAGATCCGTTATAAAATGTAGGAGGAGATTGCTGGACAAAAATCAAATACTGAAATGAACAAAGGGCAATAACTTTTAAAACAAGAGGCCCAGAGGGCCTGTATCGCTCACCTGAAT